CCCAGCATTGGTGATGACAACCTAATCTCCAAATTTGACAGTGGTGTCAGCAGTATGGCTGCTGTTAGTGGTGGTGACAGCAATATCCCCAGCATTGTTGATGACAACCCAGTCTCCAAATTTGACAGTGGTGACAGCAATATTGCTGCTCTCAGTGGTGGTGACATCAGTATCCCCAGCATTGGTGATGACAACCCAATCTCCAAATTTGACAGTGGTGACAGCAATATGGTTGCTGTTAATGATGGTGACAGCAATATCCCCAGAATTGGTGATGACAACCCAATTCCCAAATATGGCAGTGGTGACAACAATATGGCTGCTGATAGTGGTGCTGACAGCAATGTCCCCAGCATTGGTGATAACAACCCAATCCCCACATGTGACAGTGGTGTGCTCATTGGTGCCAGCAACATGGCTGACAGCGACAACGATGTGGCCAGCAGTGATAGGAGCATATCTAAAAGTGACAACATTTTGCATAGTGGTGATAGCAGTATGCCTAGTAGTAATGACACCTTGCTTATTGTTGACATGGGAGACACCAAAATGTCCACTGTTAGTGGTGGTGACATCAGCATACCAGAACGTGACATTTTGCCCAGTGTTGATGTCATTGTGTCTAGTAGTACCTTGCCTCATGGTGACAGTAGTGGGGACATCAGTGTGTCCACTATTGGTGGAGGTGACAGCTGCACACCTGAGAGTGACAACCGTTTTCCTTTTAGTGAAAGTATTAAAGAAGCAAGCATTAGAACCAAAGACTTGTGTGATATTCCTCCCTTGGAGCATAGAAATGATGACATGGAGAGTGAAGGAACCTTTAGGCTTGATAAAGAAAAGAATAACAGACCTGCCATTCATGAGGCTTTGAATACAAGCACAGAGGTTTCAAAGCATGGTGTGAGTGCATCAGGCGGTAAAGAACACAAGGACTCTAGGGTGGGATTACATCATACAATCAAGCTGGAATTCACAAAAAAGCTGAGAAGTAGATCAGTAATTTTCAAAAGCACGGAAAAAGAGATCAAAAGACCAAACAGATGCTCAAGTGTAAATACCCAAAAAGTGAATTCAAAGAAACAGTGGGAGGAAAAGTCAGAAAAGGATGAACAAATTGTATGGAAAGTGGACCAAAAAATTCAAAACAGGCTAAAAAAGATCAAGCATGCCATTAAGAATGGAAAAGGTGTACAAGTACAGTCTGAAAGCAGGCCCACTGGACAAAACATTGAGTCTCTAGAGGATAATAAGAGACATGTCCCACAAATAAAGGATCATCTGCATCAAACAGATGTGAAAGAGACAAAAAATTTGCCCAAGATTATGTCAAACCAAAATCCACCCAATGTTCATAAAAAGGAGAACCAAGACACCTCTGATGGGGCAGATGATAAAAGCGGTTGTGAAGAGCATGGAGTGAAGCACTTCACCAGAGCCAGAAGGAGACAAACCAGAACATCTGAACAAGGCCTAATGAAAGGAGCATGTCCTTCTGAAGCATACACTGGTTTTAGTAGAAAAGATAACAGTAAGTATAATACAACCATTCAGGTGACCAGATCAAGACAAAGGTGTTCCAATGCTGGTAACCTTGACCTAGGTAAGCCCAGACGTGAAGAAAGCAGACATTTCAAGTTCAAAGACTCCACTTATCATGGTGACCAAATTGATCTGCTAGCAGTTAGTGCTAGAAACCAAAGTAGAGAGCCACAGCTATATCAGGTGCATGCTTGTGAACCAAGTTCACACAGTGTGAAAACCGAGCAGAAAGAAACTGTCCATGCAGACAAAAGAAGCCTTCGATCAAGAGAAATTACTCCAATACCAGCACAAAAGGAATTTTCTACTGACATCAAGAGTGAGTCGCTTCCTGAGAAAAATGATCAAAAAGCAAAAAAGGACGGACTTCCAGGAGATGGTTCTTTTGATCTCACCTCATTGTCTTTTGTACCTCCTGGAGAGTGCAAAAACCCTTCTACTTCTAAGAGAAAATTGAGGAGCAAGGTCAAAGGAACTGACTTCAGGAGGGACAATAATGAGACCGCTGTGAATTTTGAGTACAAGAGACAATTGCGCAGCAGGGAAGGATCAGCAGGATTGGGCTCTTCTGGATGTGACAGTGATTTTGAATCAATTCAGAACTTGAAGAGGTGCAAAAAACCCACCTCTACAGCTGTCAGGAGAAGTAGGTCCCCCAACAAAAAGGTTTGTCATTGTCAGAAAGAAATCCCATCACCATGCCAGCTTGCTTTTGATTATCCAGATTCAAACCAGACCACAAAGAGATGTAAGGAAACAGTGAGCAATGCAGCAGTGGACCAGTACCTTTTACACAAAGAACTGAACAGCCAGAACTTAGAAAAAGCAAAACCACAGAACTCGACTTGTGCTGTTATTGGTACTATCAAAAACAAGAGAAAAAGTGAAAAGTCCAGTGCCTTAAAAGCCAAAAAACACAAGCCCTGGACAACAGCAGAAAATCCATACTGTTTGAGATGGCAAGAAGCAGCACAACAAGCCAGATGTGATGATTTCAGTGTAATCACATCTCCTAAAAGGCCCAATTGTAAGAATTCCTTTACAACAGCAGACTCAAAAGATAAGCTTGCACTCCAGAAAAACACTCAGAGGCAAAGGAAAGAACTAACCAGGGGTGCCAGTTTTGATTCTGTGCTGACAAGCAAAAGGTCAAAGAAGGAAATGGCAGCGAAGATCAAGCCCAGACGGTATAAAAACTCCAGCCATCCACGAGCCAAAACCAACACTATGGTCAAGAGAGGACCACGGGTGAAAATAGATCTTGGAAAATAGATTTGATAAACTTACTAAGATTCTTTGTTTACATTTGTATTTTAACATTCTTTGTTAATGTTTTTGTTTTCTTCCAGTTCATGCCAGTTATTTTGCATCTGTTAATGTAAATGTTGGGGACAAATCAAGCTTATTTTATTAGAGAACAGATGGTAATCATCTTTGAAAGTCCAAAGAAACAAAGTTAAAAGAAACAGAAGGAATTAAATAAATATTGTTTCATTTTTTTATTGTGATATTTAAAAAAGTTTATATTTTGATGTTCTTAGACTATATAGTTTTATAGTTGTTGAATTAGTTATTATATTTAACGTCTTGGTTGTATTATTACTATCTTTCTAGCTATATACTGTTGGGTTAGATAAATATCACTTTTGATAATCATTTGAACACCACAGGATACAGTTAAACTTAATTTCATTGTTTGTGTGAATATGATTTTGCTTGGCTGCCTATACAGTTCACTCAACACCATTGATAAGTTTCAAATACAGCACTTCCCAGGGGCAGATTGAGGCCGTCTTCTGCCTCTTCCAGAAGACGGTCATATTTTCAAGTTTACATTGACAGGTATCTAATTATTTCTGTCAGAAGATGGTCAAAATTAGATAGTGGATCAAAAAAGGAAGCCTGACAGAGAATAGCTCTGGATCCGCCCCTGCTATCATAACACACATGGCCTGAAGGTAGAGGCATGTAACCAACTGGTGCAGCTTTTTTGCATGACTCCTACAACACTTGCTGACGGACAGTTAGTCTCAGACTTTTATACCATGGCTGGCACTATAACAATAGGATGATTGCACTTGTATTTTGCTTACATGCTCACCTGTGGTTTAATATGCCCTTCAGTGCCTTCCGAGCAAAATACAAGTGCAACCGTCTTAATGTACCAGGCATGGAATAAGTCATGATACACTCACTCATACGACCACTCATTATCCACTGTATCCACTGTATGCCACGTTAATATATCGAGTTAAACTGTATCAAGGTGCAGCTGAGACGTTAGCTCTTGTATGTAACATACAGTGGACAGCTAGTGTAAGTTGTAACCAGACTTCCTACTGGTATGGTGGTATCATAGCCTTCTTAGATGTCTGTAGATTTTGTTATGCAAGGAGTCTTCTTTAAAAATTAATATGTGACAAAAACTTGGAAGCAATGGTGGGTACTGTAAAAGGAAATGCACTCACTAATAGGAAAGGTGCATTGTGCATACATTTTTTGTTAGATTTTTGAAAAGCAGATGGTGCTGTTATTATAGACATTGATATTTGGTGGAAGAGCATTTTGGTTTGAGATTTCCTTTTTTAGCTGTCAAAATTGTAAAAGGGTAATGTTATTCCAATTTAGTTATTTTATTATTTATTTTTGTGACATATTGCTGTTTGATACTTAAATCTGTGAAATCGATAATTTTGACTTCAACCCATTTTTGTTTTATCTTAAAAAACCATAGGCATATACAGTTAGTTTCTTCGAAGCCATCCCCTTTTTATTTAAATTTTTTAGTGTTTAAAATTAAGAATCAAGAGTTAAAAGAAATCAAAGAAAAATGGATAGATTAGTCCTGTACTTTCCTGTATTTAGTTTTTTGCAAAAAAAGAAAAAGAAAATAAACATAAAACTAAATTTCCATTCGTTGTTTAATAGTTTTAACTTGGCTGAAGTATGACATCCATTTTTGCAGTGATTTTACAAATCCGCGTAAGACAAGTAATCACAACTAATTTTACCCTCTATTAACTAGCAATTGTGATGGAAGCTGTCTGGAAAACCTCTGCCACAATAGTCACCCTGTAACTTCATATTACAAAACTTTGAAGCTAAACATTGCTTTATATACTGGGAATCTTACCATCAATAAAAACTTGTGCATTTTTTTTTTTTTTTTTTTGAGTGGGGGGTTGGTATGGGGCGTCATATTGTCATGGGTAAAAATGTCACAATCTTTCTTGTTCTCATTTACAAAAATGTAATAACTATAGAAGCATGCAGTAATATCAGCTTAAGATGCTAAGCATACCTACCTTTGTTAACCTTATAGTAGTCTCCCAATTCATCCTTCTACAAGTATTAATAACTTTAGAAAACATATCTGCATCAAGAGGTGGATTTTAACTCAAATTCCTGGCAAAGTCAAATTCTGGAAAGAAAAACTTTTGACAAGAGTAACAAATCGGTTTTTAATTAAATATTTTTATTGAAAATCCTTATCTTTCCATTGGCATGCACTGCATATGTGGCAAATAATTTGCACTTCTAACTTTCAAAAGATTATCCTCCAACAAGGAATGTCCAGAATCAATCTTAATTCATGATTCATTTTTAAAATAAGTCTTTGACGATGGAATGCTGCCATACGACGCTTCTTTTTCAATCCATCCTGCTTAGCAATCTTGGAGACAAAACTTGGATCCGTTTATTCTCCACCCCCATCTTCCTTTCAATGAAGGGATGGTGGGAGTGGTCAATAAAATCTGGATCCTGGTCATTTACTGTCCTGTGTCAAGACTACGGCCTGACCATTTGGTATGGAGTGCTGACCAACAACTAACAAAGCTTTACTGAGTGACTTTAAAAAGTACTGTCATACAATTTCCAATATAAATCCACATCTTTTAAGGACGGCCTAAGCAAGCTACAGACTGGTGACGATGTTTTCCATCTTTCCTAAAATGTCTTCTTTCTTGGATTTGGTGCTGGTTTCCGCTTCCAAGTACTGAGCCTTGGGGATCTTGCCAGCAATTAACTTCTCAGCGTAGGAGATTGCAATGTTGACCTGTTCACGGAACTGGGTGTCCAAACGCTGAAGCTCCGCAACCTAAAAGACAAACATGGTGAATGAGATTTTATATAATGTAAATTCTACATCTAAAACATAGTAGAACAAATTCCCCTCTTGCTTTCAAACACACACACTAAAAATAAATAAAATTTTCTTTTCAACCAATGCATTGCAACAATTTGACTCAAAACTCAACTACCAGAAAGTTATTTGGCTAGAACACATATTAAGCTAGGGTATGTCCCTAGGGGAAATTCATTGACAAAAAAAAAAAAAAAAAAAAAAAAAAAAAAAAAAAAAAAAAAAAAAAAAAAAAAAAAAAAAAAAAAAAAAAAAAAAAAAAAAAAAAAAAAAAAAAAAAAAAAAAAAAAAAAAAAAAAAAAAAAAAAAAAAAAAAAAAAAAAAAAAAAAAAAAAAAAAAAAAAAAAAAAAAAAAAAAAAAAAAAAAAAAAAAAAAAAAAAAAAAAAAAAAAAAAAAAAAAAAAAAAAAAAAAAAAAAAAAAAAAAAAAAAAAAAAAAAAAAAAAAAAAAAAAAAAAAAAAAAAAAAAAAAAAAAAAAAAAAAAAAAAAAAAAAAAAAAAAAAAAAAAAAAAAAAAAAAAAAAAAAAAAAAAAAAAAAAAAAAAAAAAAAAAAAAAAAAAAAAAAAAAAAAAAAAAAAAAAAAAAAAAAAAAAAAAAAAAAAAAAAAAAAAAAAAAAAAAAAAAAAAAAAAAAAAAAAAAAAAAAAAAAAAAAAAAAAAAAAAAAAAAAAAAAAAAAAAAAAAAAAAAAAAAAAAAAAAAAAAAAAAAAAAAAAAAAAAAAAAAAAAAAAAAAAAAAAAAAAAAAAAAAAAAAAAAAAAAAAAAAAAAAAAAAAAAAAAAAAAAAAAAAAAAAAAAAAAAAAAAAAAAAAAAAAAAAAAAAAAAAAAAAAAAAAAAAAAAAAAAAAAAAAAAAAAAAAAAAAAAAAAAAAAAAAAAAAAAAAAAAAAAAAAAAAAAAAAAAAAAAAAAAAAAAAAAAAAAAAAAAAAAAAAAAAAAAAAAAAAAAAAAAAAAAAAAAAAAAAAAAAGCCCAATTACCTTCTCTGCAACATCTGTGCCCTCTTGTTTAAGCTTGGCCTGCAGAGCCTTAAACTGTTCAGTCAATGCCTTGTAGTCAGCGTCTATCTTTTTGCGCTGTGCGGTGAAAGCAGCAGTGTCTTTGTTGGCTTTGTACTTGTCGACAGCATCATCATAGCTCTGGTATAAGGCACTACGCTTGTCATGCACGTTCTGAACTTCTTCAACGAGCCCGGCCACGCGCATACGGCTTTCACTGGCCTCATCCTGAGAGGGAAAAAAATAAGATTAATTTCAAAGAATAGACTATTCTATTTCTTTTTTCTTTTTGTTGTAATTTTTAAGAGGTGCCAAACTGCTATTTGTGCTGTAAAAATGATTTCATATCTAAACCATCATATTAATATAGCTTTAAACCTAAGGTAGCGATTCAAAAATATTAATATAAAGAAGATAACTGTTGGTAATTGTATTGTAAAGTAACCCCCGTCGCCTCTTAAAGAATCCAGGACTATAACTGACCTTGGTAATGGAGAAGTCCAGGCGCACATATATGATGACAACTGTGAACAACAACCAGAATGCCAGCACTACCAGCAGTGGCTCCTGCAGCAATAAAACCTTGCCAAATGTGTAGTCCAGCTGAAAGACAAGAATCAAAATATGAAGATGACACAGAGACACAAGAACATCGCAAATCATCTGGAATTGTTCAATGAGCAGGAAAATAAGCATCTTACTATGTCCAGTGTAGATAGATAGACAGTTGTTCTAATTTATTCTTATTTATTCTGGATTGTAAGCAGAAGGACAATTAATAGAGAAAAACATTTTTCTCTTTGTTTCACAACATGAGCAAGTCAAGCAGGCAAAATTGAATTGGAAAGACAAATATATTTTCATCTATCGCTAGTGCACTCGTTTTCCCTATTAGTACGTTTTGTATTATACTTGCAGGGCTTGACACTAACTTTTTTCGAAACTGGCCCGCGATAGTGGTAAATATTGCAAGGATGATTTGACATGACATTTTACTTGGTCTTTGGTCCAGTGACCCATCGATTCAATGGCCCTAGGTTGGTTTTCAGTGGCCCAGGGCCAGTGGGCCACCCTTAATATCAAGCCCTGATTTGTGTGATAAATCCCAGTGTTACCTGGAAGTCCTGAATGTGGTTCTCCACCAGGTTGGTCTTATGGAGGGTGACCACTGGCCTGCCCACCGTGTCCAGATATGTAAAGTGGAGACTGTCTGCATCACGCTTCACATCGTAGGGAGGGTTAAACTGGATGTTCCTTAAATGCCATAATAATAATATTGACAGTAAATTTATTAAAACATAGCAACCTGACATTGTACAAGAAATTAATTAGAATAAAATTTACAAAATAAAATATTTACATTGAAAAAGGAATCCAATATAATAATAAGACAAAACTGAGTTTGAAAATCAAACATTTTAATGAAATGTGAACTTGGGCTTCCAAAAACATGAAAATTTATTGTGGGGCAAAACACTAAATTGGTCTTCGGAAGGGGGGAGGGGGGGAAATAGCCCACATAATTTTAAAATAAATAGATATATGTGTTATCTGGTCTTAAGTTGTATAAACTACTTGAAAAATTTTCTTAACAATTAATATATTCAGAACAGCAAACCAGTCTTTGCATTTTATTGCGGTCAATAAATAAGGTCAATAAGGATACTTACTTGGATCCCTCAGGCAGGATAATCTTGACTGTGATATAGTCTATGACCTGATCATCATACACATGGTCTACAAAAGGCATCTTCAGTGCATAGTTGCTACCTGAGGGGGGGGAAATAAAAACTTCTCAATTAAAACATACACACTGCAGATACAGCACCAATGGGTGTAATGTAATGAATAACATGTTCTAATGGTAGCTCAGGCCCAATAAACTTCTATAGCAAAAACACAAAATTCAAACAATCTTTTTTTCAATCACAATTATGGTAAAATAGGCATCTATATAATTAATGAATCTTACCTAATGCAGCTCATTTCCTCATTTCGATAAAACAAAGACAAATGAATAAATTGTTAACAAGATGCCTATTAAACTTTAAACTTACCTGAGTTGTACAAATACTGATAAGCTGGAATGTTATAGCCGATTGTGTAGTGGGTTTTCCAGCCTCCAAACAGAGGAAAACGTGGGCGGAGTTCCAGCTCCATGCCTTCGTCCTGTTCTCGCAGGTTGCTGGTGGAAATGTTACCAATCTCGTCACGGTAGTATATGTCTTTGGCGTTGGCAGGTAATACAGTCTGAAAATATTTTAAAAGTTTGTATAATTTACACTGAGTAAAGAAAGAAGGAAATCATGTAGCATAGATGGAAGGCAAATTGGCTGAAGATGCTCAGGTCTTACAAAATTGGAATAGAAGCAGATCAATTCATATAAAATTCTTTAGCGTCTTAACAGGCAAAACTTCTTTCCATGAATCAGAAAATGAAAGGTTCTATTCCAACTGACCTTGAATGATTTAATGGAAGAAGCTCCATCCTGATGTCTTTGGTAGTCATATCTGGAGAAGGGACCTTTCAGCTTGGCTCCAGTGTGGTACATATCAAATGTCTCCTCCACTGCAATGTTCCCCCAGTGGGACACCTCTATGGTCCGCGTCAGGTGGGTCACTGTCAGGAATGGCGTGTTGTTCTCGTAGTGGATCACAACCTCTCCCTGAATAGAAATAAGAATACCAAATCAGACCAAATGTCATGAGGTGAAGAGGGTTTGACCATGACGCAATTAAACCCACACTTCTTAAAAGCCAAGTTTTGTAAGGCTTAATAGATTTCACAATGATTGCTTTTTAATTATAAGCAATTTACCACCACTTAAAAAAAAGCCACTGCTTAATAAAAGTAATTATTGGTCTGTAAATCAAATCCACACACAGAAATAGAGAACATTTCACCATATGCAGAAATAAGGAACATTTTTCATCTATTCACCTACTTTAGTAAAAGCTGGCCTAGATTCATAAGGCCCATAGGTAATGGTCTTGTCATTGACAGACACTGGTTTGGTCTTGGTGTAACTCTCAATAGTGCTGGAGGACAGCTGCACAGAGGTGGTTTGGGTCTTGGTGGAGTATGGGGAGTAGTAATATAGGTTGCCGTGGTACTGCATCAGCTGTTTCTCCCCCTGTGTAATCTGGGCAGGGTAGGGGCGGAGGATGTGGGTGAACACGGTCTCCACGGTGACCGTTGTTGTGCTGCCTTCACCGAGGGCTGGGATGTCAATGCGCCAAAACTTTGCACCCCTAGAACACAGACGTTTTATGACAAGTTCAGAAAAAACTTGAGGAATTATTATCATTTAATAATTAAAATCAAGGTCTAACTCAACGCAGAAAACATGTCAATAATGGTATGGACATTAATTCTATAAAACTTTCAACAACAGAAAATGAGCTTAAAGCAGGAATTAGCCTTGTTTTTTTTTTTTTAATCACATCTCTGAACATTTATTGTGAGATCAAAACATTTAATTTAAAATTTCAAAATTCCATGGTCTTTTATAAAAAGCATATGCCTGTATAAGAACCTCGTTCATCTCTAAAATAATAATAATAATAATAATAATTAAATTAAATAATTTAATTAAATCGTGATCTATTTTTGTATGCTAGACATATTTGCAGCTTTCAGTTCAATAGTAAATTATGACTATATTTCCCCATATACTGCCCATATACAATCAATGCATGCTTCACAGTATGTGATGCGATGTGATGGCACAATCTGATTGGTCAAAAAAAAAATCCCCTTTCTTGGTGAACAGAATATAACAAAAAAATACAACAACAACAAACTTTATTCAATTCAATCACACCCAATAACACTGCAGGATGTCTTTCATGACTTTTGCAGTAACTGTCATGTCAGTAGTTTGTATGCAACTTACTTGGCATCAGTTGTGACAGTGGTTTCAGATACGGGTAAGTTAGAGTCCTCTCCGTCTTCTACCTTTGTCTGCAAATAAAATAATAAATAATTATTCTTTGTACATGACAACAGGTCCTAATTAGAAAATGCTGTGTATATCCAATTGTTTGGCTCCAAACTAACAGTGAAATAACAAACTACAACCATAAATTAATGATTCATGAGCAAAGTCTCTCCCTCCCCCCTCCACCAAAATATTTTCAAAGTTAAGGAATGCATATGAAGACTCCTAAACAAGACAGCTACACATACCTGTGCTCCAATGAAGGATAAGCGATCCTTAGCATCTGCATCTTCGAGTGCAAACAGAAAAGATCTCACAGCACCCTTTCCTGTATTTTCCAAAGTGATGACGTTGGTAACTTTGGCGAGATGAGTACTGATATCTATCTTCCTCTCAACGTTGCTGTTGACTATGGCAGTGTTGACAGTGTCTTGGTTTGCAGTGCAACATGTAGCCAAAAGAGTGGACACTACGATCAGTTCGATGCTAAATTTTTCCATGGCGCACTTTTAGCGATGTCGGCGGATTAAGCACCTAGAGAGATGCCGGTTCCACGAATTCAATATGGCTGGACCGGAAGAGGAACATGTAACCTCGTTTTCAAATGGCCAGGGTGGCAGACAGTCATTTGCTACTTTATAAGAAGGGATAAATTTTAGGTTTAAGGCATTTTTTTCTTCCAAGTTAGGAAAAGAAACAATACTCAAGGATAAATTATTCCCATTTATATGAGAAAAATTATTTCCCCAGCTAACGAGAGCGCGTGAAATTTCGCGCCATCTTCGTATTCACTTCCGAGGTCAACATGGCCGGGGATATTGACAGAAACCGATCCCTGAAAGAAGCGCTCTTCGAAAGTCTGACAGCCATTTTATCGCCTATGCAGAATGTGCGGGCGTCGGGCGAAGAGCAAATCAAAGCATTGGAAGTGACAGAAGGTAACCTTATACTTTTCTTTACACAGAATAGATACACACTGCATGCTTGAAAATGGGCACATGTTCAGATCCAGTGCAGTATGAGTGACTGGGGTTGATTCAGCCTGCACTATGTGTATACATACTTGGTCAGTTAACGTAATTTAACAGAGTAATCCAATTTATTCAGTGGCAGTGAAAATGGCAAATTTGTGTGTGTGTGTGTGTGTTTCAGTCTTATAATGTGTGTAGGGTGCCATACTGCCAGGTTACTGTATGTGCATTGTGTGTGTTTGAATATTATATGAATACATGATTGTTTTTAGTTTGTTTTCATGTAAAATGCACACGTTTAATTTTTTATACAGCTCTTGCACACTGCCACGTTCTTGCTTTGTGTGTTAATAAGCATGTACCCATATGTGCAAACTGACTGATGAATCATTATGAAAATCCGGATGTTTTTTTATTCAAGAGTTTGGTGTCCACCTGGCAGAGTTCACAGTGGACCCTAATGGGGCCTTAGCTATCCGCCAACTGGCCTCGGTGCTACTGAAGCAGTATGTAGAGACACACTGGTCGCAGCATTCTGAGAAGTTCAGGCCTCCTGAGACAGTGGAAAGTGTAAGTAAACTAATACTCCCCTCTCCCCAAATCTTCACCCCAAGCCCACCCCCAGCCCTCTCCCCCAGCCAGATGTAACACAACAGCATGTTACATTCCTAGAGACCACACAAACCGACTGAAATCCACATTTATTTCTCTGGCTGCTTGATGAGGTTCACATTTACCTGTATCTTTACAGTGTTCAATTTCATAAAAAATATCCAAAAAATATCCGATTTATTTAAAGCAAACTGGTCTGCCAAATTTTATCAGTGACATTAGTTTCACTTTCAGCTAGTACCAAAGCTAAAATCTATTTCACAAAATTCATGTGGGATTTATACCATTTCAGCAAGTAACAAGGTGAAAGGTAATGCATTATGTACTGCATACATCTATCCCAATTCTTCATTAAAGTCTCAAGATATTTTCTCTAGGCCAAGTCTGTGATCAGGCAAATTCTTCCTATGGGACTGAAGGAAACCATCAGCAAGGTGCGGTCCAGCGTGGCATATGCAGTGTCAGCCATCGCCCACTGGGACTGGCCTGAGGCGTGGCCTGAACTGTTTGGGATTCTCATGCAGGCTCTGACCAGTGGAGATGGGAATGCCGTCCATGGTGCCATGAGGGTGCTCACTGGTGAGTGTGTTAGGTGTGATGTCAGGGCATTGTGATGGTTGTGACACCATTGTGTTAGTTTGTACAAGATTGTTATGTTTTGTTAGTATTCAGTAAAGCAAAATTTTTAAAGGGAGATTTTTTAAAATGTGAAAATAGTTTCATTGATTTGCAGTCTTTTAGAAATTACTGTTTTCATTTTTATGATGTGTCCAAAATTTGTTTTACCTGTTGATGGTTTTGTCTGTTCATTCTGATGGAACAGGTAATTCAGTTGTAATCAGGTTTGTCAGAATGAACATTTATTTACCTATAAAATTGAATCTGTCAAAAAAAATTGAAACCATATTTGCCAAGAGTTAGTACATAGAATACACAATTTGTTTACTGAGAGATGTAGTTATGTACTTATGACGTGGCAATATAAGTTCTTAAAAGTTTTGATTGCGCCAGGGTTGTAATTTCATTTTATTGGATATTGTTTCAGAGTTTTGTCGTGAAGTGACAGACACCCAGATGCCACAGGTTGCCCCTGTCATACTTCCTGAGATGTACAATATTTTCACACAAGATAAGGTGAGAAATGCATTACATTGTTACATGTCACAACTAATGCAATACGACCTGACAAGCTACCACAAACAACGCATGTTATATCAAATTATCATGATTGCTTGCACCCTGCTATCATTCTTGTGAAATTGTTTTGTAGGAACATGAAGTTTCATTAAATAAAATGGGACAAGATGTTAACTTTTTACAGCCTTCTTACATAATTTTTTTTTCTTAGTGAAAATGACTGTTGCTTACTTTCAGGCATACAGTATAAGGACCAGGTCTCGAGCAGTTGATATTTTCAACACGTGTGCAGGTCTGATAGGAACAATGACAGACTACAACAAAGGGGTGGCCAAGCAGCTGCTGTTCCCAGTATTACCACAGTTTGTGGAGGCATTCATACAGGCCCTACAGGTGCCGGATGGAGAGACCTCTGACAGTGGGCTGAAGATGGAAGTTTTAAAGGTATTTTGCTGGTTTACAAGTAAGATCAATGAGAGTGTGCCCTCAGGATTTTGAATTTGGGAGTCAGTTTCATAATTTGGGGTAATTTCTAGGTCTGTCTGTAGTCTTTTATTTTACCTGAATGGTAGGTATGATCAAGAATGTGAGTTCATTGCTGTGCTTTAAACTTAACCCCTATCGCACCAGATATTGAATTTTATAGTGTATCAAGACTCTGCTGAAATCCTTTTCCAAGGAAGTGGTCTTAACTGCACCAGATGGTAGCAATTTTTCATTTCTGTCAATGTTAAACATTTCAGGGCATTACAACTCTAGTGAAAGCCTTTCCAAAGAATATGAGTCCCTGGCTGCACCAAATCTTGCCTCCAGTTTGGAACACACTGACACACAGTGCTGACATCTATGTTAGAACTGTTGTCAATGACACAGAGGATGCCGTGAATCCTGTCGACTCAGATGGTATGAAGATGTAGTAGACTTTGCGTAATGTAAACAATTTGGAAGAGGAACTTTTTTGAGTTATGTGAAGATTAGAGTTAGGCAGTGTTCATTAAATTTTCAAATACTTCAGGATACTCCCTGTAATGCACAAAAATTACTACTACCTGTTTCTTACACAACTCAAACAAAATCTCCATGCCAAATTAATACCCAAATTAATCACTCAGACAGCAAAAAGAAAGAAGGGCTTTAAAACTGTGCCTTCTGCTAATTTCTGATTGTAAATGTGATCTTCTTACTCTATTAAAAATCTAATAAATTTTTTCCTTAGGGGAAGTACTCGGTTTTGAGAACCTAGTATTTGGTATATTCGAATTTATCCATGCGTTGATTGAGACCCCAAAGTTCCGGGGCGTGGTCAAGAAATCCATGGATCAGCTTATTTATTATGTGGTGCTGTATATGCAAATAACAGAAGACCAGGTAATTATCACACCAAAAAGTTTTAAATAAATTTATTTACTACAGTTCAAATATCATTGAGCATTTATGTTGTAAGAAAAGTTTCAGATCTTTTACTGAATCACATGAAACAATTATAATTGTACACAATCATGTGATTATGGTATTAGTCAAGATAAATACGATTGCTTCTTTTTGACTTAATTATTGATATTATTTGCAGAAGATTGTCAGAAATTTCAGAAGTAACTGTAAATGAATTTAAGCCTTTTTAGGACAGTATTGTTTCCTTTTTTAATCAGTTTATTATTACTATTTTATTTTTAATGTTTATTTTTATTTTATTTTATTTTATTTTTTTAATGTATTCAGATTGGCCTTTGGAGTAGTAATCCAGACCAGTTTGTTGAAGATGAAGATGACGACACATTCTCATATTCAGTTCGAATATCAGCTCAAGATCTGCTGCTGGTGAGTGGATTATGGCTTCTTTGAGAAGTTTCTAGGTCATTTAAGGACATGAGAGAGAAGGGAAGTGTTCGGTAGGGGGCTCAGGAGCATCTTGATATTGGAACAAGTTGCCTTTTGATCTTAACAGGTTTTTCACAGGTACTGCCTTTTGTATTGGAGAGCACAAGACACTAAACATGAGGTTTTAAACTGGTAAAAGTCCAGTCTGTATTGTAAGCCACAGGTCTGGGGTTACAGACTGGTATATTTTGTCTACTTTTGCACTCAGCTTCTTAGAGCGACTTGTGGTCTAAAAAGTTCTAGGTTCGAAATGTTGAAGGCAAATATTTTAATATAGTTAAATTAGTGTTTACATTAATTTTGTTGGATAGCAGTTATACAGAAGACCTCACACTTAATGGCATAGCATAAGCCTGAACAACTTCCCTTTCACTTGCTAAATCTGGAAATTACTTCTACAAACAAAAAAAGGTTTTTTCATATGATAAACTTTGCATATAACAGACACAGAGGGCTATCCCAATTAATATGTTAAATGCAAGGTCAATTTTATTGTTGTGAAATGAAATTCAGTGTGTTTTTCCTTATTTCCCCAGTCTCTGGCCAGTGAGTTCATGAATGAGTGTGCCCCTGGCATCTTTGCAGCAGTGACCAGACACTTACAGGAGGCAGATGCAATCAAAACTAGTAATCCCCACTGGTAAGTCCTGCACACTGAAGCTTCATGCTAGTCCATATGAACCACATCATTGAGCCAGTTAAGATAAGTCTTGATAAAAAGGAGTCTGTGTGAGCTCCAAAAGTTGGGTTTCTTTCCAAACGTGTGTGCACCTCCCAGGAGTTAGGTTGTCTTCGTAAAGTTTGTGTGTGCATGTGCATGTGTGTGGTCACAGTTCAGGTATGGGAATTATTATGTGGATTGCCTACTTCACAACCCTGCTGGCCTAATATTCCTGGTATTCTGTAGGTGGATGGAATTGTCATTATTACACAGTTCTGAAACTGTTACAATGAAAAACCTATTTCACCACTGATAAGACTAAAGCTAAATAACATTGACAGGTTGTTTTTACCCTCATACAATAGAGTTAAATGAATAAAAAAGATGTTTTAAACTACATGACATTGTATTTTGTAGGTGGAAGCTCCATGAGTCTGTGATGCTGACCATGGGTAGTATAAGGTCACTAGTGCTGGACGTCATTAACAGTGGACAATGCCAGTTTGATATAATAGGGTTTTTAGAGTCGGTTATTTTAGGAGATTTAAATTTACAAGGTGAGCTTTGGAGTTAAGCCAGGTCTTCTATTTGTTGATTATAAATTAAATTTTTCCTCTCAATCTTTGCTGGAACATAAAATGTATCCTTGAAACTTGGAAAAGAATTGCCATTAATGATAAATATTTACAGATATATACTCGGTTGTCAATATTTATAATTCATACTTGTAAAGACTGAAAATTGAATGTAGGTTTGGCTTAAATAGAAGAATTATGTCAACTGTGTTATGCAAATCACAGTGAAAGCTACAGTTTATTCAAACAATATCTAATCTCAGTGTTATATCAATTAATCATAATTGTATTTGTATTGTTGTAACTTTGAAAAAATGTGTATAATATTTTCTTCTTGTAATTTGTCAGTGTCTCCATTTTTGCTGGGGAGATGTCTATGGACAGGAAGTAGGTACACAGGGGCCATGTCACCCCAGCTTTTAGAGAGGTAAAATTTATCTTTAACTTTTTATTTCATTTGTTATATCTTAAATTGTGCAATCAGATCAAAGAATTCTGTTTTGCTAAACTAAGTTCTTTAGATTGGTGTTGAATTAGGTAAAGGTAATCAAGTATTTCATTTGTTCTGGACTAAGAATGATATTATTTATCATTTTTAATAATAAAATATTATTTTTGGAAGATAATGAATTGCAGAATATTGTTTGAATTTGTTAACAAGAAGACATTATTTGGGATGATTATTAATGAATTTTGTTCGTATTTAGAGAGAAACTTGCAAGGATGAATTAATCTTAGCTGCTCGTTCGTAAAATCTCTCCGTAATTTTTCTCAGGTGTTTACAAGCAACAGTGCGTAAGATTTTTCCATGACTTTTTTCTCAGGTTTTTACAAGCGACAGTGAGTGGTCTTCACCCTAGTCAGCCTCCCAGTGTACGGATATCAGCCGTTAGAGCAGTGTTTGGTTTCTGCGACCACCTAAAACAGTCCAATACGACCCAGCTCCTGGCGCCGCACCTGGGGAATATGTTCGATGGACTCATGTCCATAGCTCAACAGTTTTCTACGGAGGTGTTAGCTCTGTGTTTAGAAACCATAAATATAGTTTTATCAGTAAGTATGGCTTCTCACTCTTGGTTTAGTCTAATGGCTTACTCATCTCTGAAAGATCAGGCATTGTTATAAAGATGTTGAAAAAAAGGAATGGATTCTGAAAATATTCTTTGGACAAATAATATTCTTAGTGATTTGCAATCACAGTGGCGCAGGTTTTTATTGGACAACATATAATGTTACATAAATTTTCTTTTGAAGGTTGATTCTAGTTTTACCAAAAATGTGGAAGACAAGATCTCTCCATTGGCCATTGCTGTGTTTTTAAAATTCAGTGGAGGTAGGAATTTACAGTAAATCAATTCAATATAAAGGGCAGTTAAGCTCAAATAAAATCATCCAGATTACAAAAAATTGAATAAGGATATAGAACGTAGGAGGTAAGAAGAAACAGTTACAGTCTCATTATTTTAAGTGTTCCATTTATGCAAGGCAAAATAGAATAGGAAAAACTTAATCTTCAGGTTAAACATTATTTATTTATTTATTTATTAGGAAATGATAACACAAAAGACTTAATATTTTCAATCTTATTGCATTTTAGATCCATTAGTAGTAAGTTTAGTGCAGGACACATTTGCCCAGTTGTCTAAGAACTCTGAGTGCCGAGAGCCGTTACAGCAGAGACTGTTACCTACCCTAGTCAGCATACTGCAGGCCGCACCAGATAAAATACCCATGGGGCTACAGTCAGTAAGTCTATTTACACTGTCACAGGCATTAACCCTTCTGTCAGTCATTTCCATTTGTTGTCAGTCGTATCTTCATAGTTTTTTCCCCTGGAAAACAGGAGATTCCCTGCCGTTCAAACCCACTTCTTATACTTACACAATCTGTTTTGAATAGCATTTAATATAATATTTTATGTGCAATTGCAAAACTTTTACTTGAGCAATTTCTTATTTTCAATGCTTGTGATTTTTGTACATTAGAATTCATGTGATGCCAGAAATAAATACAAAATGTTTTTGGAAGAACTGACTTGTCTAATATAAATATTGTTTCATTTCTGTCAGACAGCACTAGATATGTTAGAGACGTGTGTAAGACATAGTGGAAGCCCCATCTCTGATGCACTAGTGCGTGCATTCCCCGTAGCAGCCTGCTGCACGCTCAGTACGGACGACAACGCTACAATGCAGGTGAGCATTGGAAGTATATAACTGGTTGGGTTTCACACTTGATAGCTTTATGATGATTTTTTAAAAAATTTTTACTGCTGCATTTGACAAGAGAGTGTTTCTGAAGCATTGTTACATTTGTGAGCATTTTGCACTTAGTATGGAGCAAAAAGTATTTTATATGCAGAACCTGTAAGTAGTGTACTTGTATATGTAGCTTTCTTCTAAATTAAATACTTTTGTTAAAAAGATTTAAGCACGTTTTACTAGTGTAATTCCTGTTTGCATCTTCTTTCAGAGTGGTGGAGAATGTTTACGGGCATATGCCTCCGTAGCTTTAGACCAAATTATACAGTGGCATGACGAGCAAGGTAATGAGGGTGGGGAGGAGGACCTTTTCTTCTAATTTTGTGCACTCTTTACAACACAAATTAAGCATTTAATGAAAATTTGTTAAATTGCTGTGCCTGACTTATGAGAAATTAAAACATGAAGCATAGAGTTTTTTTTTTTTTTAAATGCGAATAGACTCCATAGAACTGGTTATCCTAGACCCCATTTCCAGAGATTAGATCAATCTACTTTAGATCGACCTAACTCTTTGGGGGTTCACGCTAAATAGCTGTTAGCCGGGCGGACACGAAAGTTAATTAACCCCTTACAGCTTGTAGTAGGCGGGACGGACATTTAAGCCGGATTATCTGACAGTAATCTAGTGAGACTCCCCGCGGGGATAGATCGATATAAAAGCTCTGGGAATACAGCCTAATAAAATCAAGTTTAATTGTGATACAAATGTTTAGGATTTGTGTGAAGATTTTTTATGTGAATTCTCAGTTAAGTAAGCATGAGAAATACAAATCATTTGGAAAGCTTTTTACTGTAATAATAAGATGATTTGTCATAATTCCAGGCAAGAACGGGCTATGGTATATAGTACAGGTAATATCAAGGCTCTTAGACCCCAAGACGTCTGAGTACACAGCAGCCTTTGTGGGTCGCCTGGTCTCCATAGTGATATCTAAAGTGGGCAGTGGGCTGGGAGAAAACCTGGATCTGATGCTGAGAGCAATACTGAGTAAAATGCAGCAGTCGGAGACGCTGAGTGTGGTACAGGTATGGGAGTTTTTCTCACCTGTTTATTTTGAACCAGACCAAGTATGGGTTTACCACATTTAATACATTACACTTTAATTGTCAGGTGTAAAACAATTTTGAAAGGTAAAGACTTCATTTGAAAATTTTAGGGGTCATTTTTTAAGCTGTCATGTTGCCAAGTGTAAAAAAAGGGTCATTTATTTATTTTTATTTATTATTGTACCACCAGCGTTAGCGCTGGCGGTACACATGGTTTCGGTCCCGTCCGGATCGTTCCGCCGGCTCCGCCGGCTCCGCCGGACGGCTACCGTTACCGNTTGTCATTTTATGATGTGTCCAAAATTTGTTTTACCTGTTGATGGTTTTGTCTGTTCATTCTGATGGAACAGGTAATTCAGTTGTAATCAGGTTTGTCAGAATGAACATTTATTTACCTATAAAATTGAATCTGTCAAAAAAAAAAGTGAAACCTTATTTGCCAAGAGTTAGTACATAGAATACACAATTTGTTTACTGAGAGATGTAGTTATGTACTTATGACGTGGCAATATAAGTTGTTAAAAGTTTTGACTGCGCCAGAGTTGTAATTTCATTTTATTGGATAATGTTTCAGAGTTTTGTCGTGAAGTGACAGACACTCAGATGCCACAGGTTGCCCCTGTCATACTTCCTGAGATGTATAATATTTTCACACAAGATAAGGTGAGAAATGCATTACATTGTTACATGTCAAAACTAACACAATATGACCTGGGAAGCTACCACAACCAACATAGTTTATATCAAATTATCATGATTGCTTGCACCCTGCCATCATTCTTGTGAAATCGTTTTGTAGGAACATGAAGTTTCATTAAATAAAATGTGACAAGATGTTAACTTTTTACAGCCTTCTTACATAATTTTTTTTTCTTAGTGAAAATGACTGTTGCTTACTTTCAGGCATACAGTATAAGGACCAGGTCTCGAGCAGTTGATATTTTCAACACGTGTGCAGGTCTGATAGGAACAATGACAGATTACAACAAAGGGGTGGCCAAGCAGCTGCTGTTCCCAGTATTACCACAGTTTGTGGAGGCATTCATACAGGCTTTACAGGTGCCAGATGGAGAGACCTCTGACAGTGGACTGAAGATGGAAGTTTTAAAGGTATTTTGCTGGTTTTCATGTGCAATCACTGGTAGTTTGTCCTCTGGATTTCGAATTTGGATGTTGGTATCATAATTTGGGATAATTTGCTCTAGATTTTAAATTTGGAAGTCTGTTTCATAATTTGGGGTCATTTCTAGGTCTGTCTGTAGTATTTTTTTTACCTGAATGCTAGGTATGATCGAGAATTTGAGTTCATGGCTCTGCATTTAAACCCCTATCACACCAAATATTGAATTTTACAGGGCATCATGACTCAGTTAAAATCTTTCCCCAAGGAAAGAGCCCTTAATTGCACCAAACTGTAGCATTTTTTTAATTTCTGTCAATGTTAATCATTTCAGGGCATTACAACTCTAGTGAAAGCCTTTCCAAAGAATATGAGTCCCTGGCTGCACCAAATCTTGCCTCCAGTTTGGAACACGCTGACGCACAGTGCTGACATCTATGTTAGAACTGTAGTCAATGATACAGAGGATGCTGTGAATCCTGTTGACTCAGATGGTATGAAGATGTAGTAGACTTTGCGTAATGTAAACAATTTGGAAGAGGAACATTTATTTGAGCTATGTGAAGATTAGAGTTAGGCAGTTTTCATTAAATTTTCAAATACTTCAGGATACTCCCTGTAATGCATAAAAATTACTACTACCAGTTTCTTACACAACTCAAACAAAATCTCCATGCCAAATTAATACCCAAATTAATCACTCAGACAGCAAAAAGAAAGAAGGGCTTTAAAACTGTGCCTTCTGCTAATTTCTGATTGTGAATGTGATCTTCTTACTCTATTAAAAATCTAATAAATTTTTTCCTTAGGGGAAGTACTCGGTTTTGAGAACCTAGTATTTGGTATATTTGAATTTATCCATGCGTTGATTGAGACCCCAAAGTTCCGGGGCGTGGTCAAGAAATCCATGGATCAGCTTATTTATTATGTGGTGCTGTATATGCAAATAACAGAAGACCAGGTAATTATCACTCCAAAAACTTTTAAATAAATTTATTTACTACAGTTCAAACATCATTGAGCATTTATGTTGTAAGCAGTAAGAAAAAGAAAAGAACAGTTTCAGATCTTTTACTGAATCACGTGAAACAATCATAATTGTACACAATCATGTGATTATGGTATTAGTCAAGATAAACACGATTGCTTCTTTTTGACTTAATTATTGATATTATTTGCAGAAGATTGTAGATTTCAGAAGTAACTGTAAATAAATTTAAGCCTTTTTAGGACAGCATTGTTTCCTTTTTTAATCAGTATTATTATTGCTATTTTATTTTTAATGTTTATTTTTATTTTATTTATTTTTTTAATGTATTCAGATTGGCCTTTGGAGTAGTAATCCAGACCAGTTTGTTGAAGATGAAGATGACGACACATTCTCATATTCAGTTCGAATATCAGCTCAAGATCTGCTGCTGGTGAGTGGATTATGGCTTCTTTGAGAAGTTTCTAGATCATTTAAGGACATGAGAGAGAGGGGAAGTGTTCGGTAGGGGGCTCAGGAGCATCTTGATATTGGAACAAGTTGCCTTTTGATCTTAACAGGTTTTTCACAGGTACTGTCTTTTGTATGGGAGAACACAGGACACTAAACATGAGGTTTTAAGCTGGTAAAAGTCCAGTCTGTATTGTAAGCTACAGGTCTGGGGTTACAGACTGGTATATTTTGTCTACTTTTGCACTCAGCTTCTTAGAGCGACTTGTGGTCTAAAAAGTTTTAGGTTTGAAATGTTGAACGTAAATATTTTAATATAGTTAAATTAGTGTTTATATTAATTTTGTTGGAAAGCAGTTATACAAAAGACCTCACACTTAATGGCATAGCATAAGCCTGAACACTTCCCTTTCACATGCTAAATCTGGAAGTTACTTCTGCTGACAAGGAAGGTGTTTGCATATGATAAACGTTGCATATAACAGACACAGAGAGCCATCCCAATTAATATGTTAACTGCAAGGTCAATTTTATTGTTGTGAAATAAAATTCAGTTTGTTTTTATTTATTTTTCCAGTCTCTGGCCAGTGAGTTCATGAATGAGTGTGCCCCTGGCATCTTTGCAGCAGTGACCAGACACTTACAGGAGGCAGATGCAATCAAAACTAGTAATCCCCACTGGTAAGTCCTGCACTCTGGAGCTTCATGCTGGTCTAGGTGAACCACGTCATTGAGCCAGTTGAGATGAGTCTTGGTAAAAGATGTTTTCTTAGGAGTCTGTGTGAGCTCCTCCTGTTGGATTTCTTACTTAACATGTGCACTTCCCATGAGTTAGGATGTCTTCGTAAAGTTTGTGTGTGCATGTGTGTGGTCACAGTTCAGGTATGGGAAATTATTATGTGGATTGCTTACTTCACAACCCTGCTGTACCAGTATTCCTGGTATTCTGTAGGCGGATGGAATTGTCATTTTTACACAGTTCTGACACAATGAAAAACCTATTTCACCACTGATAAGACTAAAGTTAAATTACCTTGTTTTTACCCTCATACAATAAAGTTAAATGAATAAAAAAAGATGTTTAAAACTACATGACATTGTACTTTGTAGGTGGAAGCTCCATGAGTCCGTGATGCTGACCATGGGTAGTATAAGGTCACTAGTGCTGGACGTCATTAACAGTGGACAATGCCAGTTTGATATAGTAGGGTTTTTAGAGTCAGTTATTTTAGGAGATTTAAATTTACAAGGTGAGCTTTGGAAAAGAATTGCCATTAATGATAAATATTTACAGATATATGCTCGGTTGTCAATATTTATAATTTATACTTGTAAAGACTGAAAATTGAATTAAGGTTTGGCTTTAATAGAAGAATTACATCAACTGTGTTATGCAAATCACAGTGATAGCTACAGTTTATTCAAACAATATCTAATCTCAGTGTTATATCAATTAATCATAATTGTATTTGTATTGTTATAACTTTGAAAAAATGTGTATAATATTTTCTTCTTGTAATTTGTCAGTGTCTCCATTTTTGCTGGGGAGATGTCTGTGGACAGGAAGTAGGTACACAGGGGCCATGTCACCCCAGCTTTTAGAGAGGTAAAAATTTATCTTTAACTTTTTTTTTTCATTTGTAATACCTGAAACTTAAGAATCAGGGTTACTTAGGAAGTTTGTTTTGCTGAAGTAAATTCTTCAGATAAGTGATGAATTAGGTAAAGGTAATTAAGTATTTCATTTGTTCTGGACTAAGAATGATATTATTTTTAATAATGAAATATTAATTTTGGAAGATAATGAATTGTAGAATATTGTTTGAATTTGTTAATAAAAAGGCTTTATTTGGGATGATTATTAATGAATTTTGTTCGTATTTAGAGAGAAACTTGCTGCTCGTTCGTAAAATCTTTCCGTAATTTTTCTCAGGTTTTTACAAGCGACAGTGCGTAAGATTTTTCCGTGATTTTTTCTCAGGTTTTTACAAGCGACAGTGCGTAAAATTTTTCCGTGATTTTTTCTCAGGTTTTTACAAGTGACAGTGCGTAAAATTTTTCCGTGATTTTTTTCTCAGGTTTTTACAAGCGACAGTGCGTAAAATTTTTCCGTGATTTTTTCAGGTTTTTACAAGCGACAGTGCGTAAAATTTTTCCGTGGTTTTTTTCTCAGGTTTTTACAAGCGACAGTGAGTGGTCTTCACCCTAGTCAGCCTCCCAGTGTGCGGATATCAGCTGTAAGAGCCGTGTTCGGTTTCTGCGACCACCTGAAGCAGTCCAATACGACCCAGCTCCTGGCGCCGCACCTGGGAAATATGTTCGATGGACTCATGTCCATAGCTCAACAGTTTTCTACGGAGGTGTTAGCTCTGTGTTTAGAAACCATAAATATAGTTTTATCAGTAAGTATGGCTTCTCACTCTTGATTTAGTCTAATGGCTTACTCATCTCTGAAAGATAGGCATTGTTATAAAGATGTTGAAAAAAAAGGAATGGATTCTGAAAATATTCTTTGGACAAATAATATTCTTAGTGATTTGCAATCACAGTGGCGCAGGTTTTTATTGGACAACAGATAATGTTACATTAATTTTCTTTTGTAGGTTGATTCTAGTTTTACTAAAAATGTGGAAGACAAGATCTCTCCATTGGCCATCGCTGTGTTTTTAAAATTCAGTGGAGGTAGGAATTTACAGTAAATCAATTCAATATAAAGGGCAGTTAAGCTCAAATAAAATCATCCAGATTAAAAAAATTCTGAAAAAAAAAATTGAATAAGGATGTAGAACGTAGGAGGTAAGAAGAAACAGTTAGTCTTATTATTTTAAGTGTTCCATTTATGCAAGGCAAAATTGAAGGGGAAAAACTTAATCTTCAGGTTAAACATTATTTATTTATTTATTTATTTGTTTATTTATTTATTAGGAAATGACAATACAAAAGACTTATTGTTTTCAATCTTGTTGCATTTTAGATCCATTAGTAGTAAGTTTAGTGCAGGACACATTTGCCCAGTTGTCTAAGAACTCTGAGTGCCGAGAGCCGCTACAGCAGAGACTGTTACCTACCCTAGTCAGCATACTGCAGGCTGCACCAGATAAAATACCCATGGGGCTACAGTCAGTAAGTCTATTTACACTGTCAGAGGCATTAACCCTTCTGTCAGTAATTTCCATTTGTTGTCAGTCGTATCATCATAGTTGTTTTCCCTGGAAAACCTGAGATTCCCTGCCGTTCAAACCCACTTCTTATAGTTACAAATTCTGTTTTGAATAGCATTTAATATACTGTCATTCTTTGCTAGTGGTTACAAAATGTTGAATTTGACCGAAAATTTCAAACTTTCTCTGGGAAGCTGTAATTTTGCGATGTGATAGCTACACCATCACAGTTTATCATTTCATAAAAAGGGAAACAGCAGCTGCCCTTTTTAGGGCACACAGGAGAGTTGAACAGCTATACCCACCAAATCCAAGACGCGTTACCCTGGGTAATATATTTTGCACAAACTAATGAAAGTCTAATGGAATGTTTTCAGTTTTAGTTTAAATCATAAGGGGGTGTTGTCTCAATGCTTCAAAACTGGTTTTGAAGAATTTAATCCACATTTCATAATTAATAAAAATGGTGAATATGTGGGTCACGGTAACGTTATTGACGCGGGTACAAAAACTTTTTATAATCATGTAAATAATAACAATATTTTTGCTATTATCCATACACACTTCATTCATGAGGGGCACACCACTTTCACATGCTTTTAAAATGGAATTGACAAACACAGAGGAATAATGCACATATTTTATTTACTGTAACTCTGTCATATGGGACACACACTGAACAAAGTTGATCTAAAGAATGTTCCAGATTGTAGTTTTTTATCAGAACTATTATTTTTTTATTATTATTTTAACACAATAAAGTTCAGTTAAATACAAAATTTAACAAAATGAAGTTCAGTGTAACACAAAGTTCATAATTATAACATTCTTCCTGACATATGTAGACCAATGGTGATATCTGTTCTGTGCTCACTAAGGCATCCACTCTTGGGATTCTGAAAAAAAATCACACAAAGAATCTGTTAACTCTGATAACGAACAATGGATAACCTAAGATCACAAATAGTTTATTGCTTATTCAAACAAAGTACAGTGCATTATGAGTGGCAAACACGCATTACTGAGACACATTTTCTTCACCCATTTTCGGTGCTTCATTGCGTAACGTAAGTGTTGCTAGTAATCCATTATTGCTGTTTTTACAGACGGTTAAATTTTAAACGCACGGAATACAGTGTAGCAGCTTAATTTAAGACAAAACTAAAAAAAAGTAATTCAATTTCGATGATTGAGTTTTCGAGAACAAGAGAACATGAATACGGTATCACCGCGTCACCATGTTCAATATGACCTTTAGTCCCCCATGTGAAACAGACGCAAAACGAAAGTTCAGACGAAGTCACCCTACTTATAGAATGGTAAAAATCAATCGGTACACAAATATGTTGAAACAATTGAAGAAAAATGAAACGAAACTCATTATTTCTCACCTTCATACAAAGAAGATCCCAATAAACAATCCTGTGACGGTTAAATCGAGGGAATTACACCTGTGCCCTGCATCCTATCTCGACAGCGTCATTGCGTGATATGTTATCAGAATGGGCCACCCGCCAGTTTGAGCTGGTTTTTTTAGTGTGCAAAAGAAGCCATTCGTGTGTAAGACGTCATCAGTTAGTGAGTATGGAAGAAGATCGCTATCGATGTATAATTTTCACGCGGCATTTTAAAGTCGTCTGATAAAAATCGATCTCTGAAGTTTCAGCGTTGCGAACGTTATATTGGGACGCGGTGAAGAAAAATCGACCTTGCTGAGCAATAAATGTGAAATTCTTAAGAAAACTGATATTATCATGGACTTCGTGACACAAACTAACCGACATACTACTTTGGACGATTGAACAGTTTTAATACGGAAAGATAGGATTAGATGAAATTTTCATCGGGGTGGGACACCGCATGTATCGTAAGTTAAGCTAATTTTGTGATCATTTTTCAGTGACTTCAAATAAATTTTTATTTAAATAACAATTTGCACATTCTGTTTATTATATCTTCTTGCAGTAGATGTATTTCCTGCTTCAATAATCCATTCAAACCCTAAACAAACTGTTCTTAAATAGAGGTAGGGTCAAAATTCCACAAAAAAGGACGCCATTTTGAGGGTTATTTCGATATATTTTCTGCTTTTTCTATTTTTTTGCTTTTATAACAACATCCTCCTTGCTCATGCAGCTTCTTTGATTTGTTATTGAAACATACACAACGATGTCATGAGAATTTGGTTGGCTATCTAAATTTAAATAACATTCTTGTTATGGCCCCCCTGCAGTGCACCACTAGCAAAGAATGACTGTATAATATTTTATGTGCAACTGCAAAACTTTTACTTGAGCATTTTCTTATTTTCAATACTTGTGATTTTTGTACATTAGAATTCATGTGATGCCAGAAATTAATACAAAATGTTTTTGGAAAAACTGACATGTCTAATACAAATATTGTATTATTTCTCTCAGACAGCACTAGATATGTTAGAGACGTGTGTAAGGCATAGTGGAAGCCCCATCTCTGATGCACTGGTGCGTGCATTCCCCGTAGCAGCGTGCTGTACACTCAGTACGGACGACAACGCTACAATGCAGGTGAGCAGTAGAAGTATATAACTGGTTGGGTTTCACACTTGATAGCTTTATGATGATTTTTTTTTTTTTTACTGCTGCATTTGACAAGAGAGTGTTTCTGAAGCATTGTTACATTTGTGAGCATTTTGCACTTAGTATGGAGCAAAAAGCATTTTATATGCAGAACCTGTAAGTAGTGTACTTGTATATGTAGCTTTCTTCTAAATTAAGTACTTTTTAAAAAAAGATTTAAGCATGTTTTACTAGTGTAATTCCTGTTTGTATCTTTTTTCAGAGTGGTGGAGAATGTTTACGGGCATATGCCTCCGTAGCTCTAGACCAAATTATACAGTGGCATGACGAACAAGGTAATGAGGGTGGGGGGGAACCTTTTCTTCTTATTTTGTGCACTCTTTACAACACAAAACAAGCATTTAATGAAAATTTGTTAAATTGCTGTGCCTGACTTATGAGAAATTTAAACACAGAGCATAGAGTTTTTTTTTTTTTTTAATGCAAATAGACTCCACAGAACTGGTTATCTTCTAAAATCAAATTTAATTATTGTGATACAAATGTTTAGGATTTGAGGGAAGATTTTTGGATGTGAATTCTCAATTAAGGAGAGTATGAGAAATACAAATCATTTGGAAAGCTTTTTACTGTAATAATAAGAGGATTTTAATGAAATGTGTCATTATTCCAGGAAAGAATGGGCTATGGTATATAGTACAGGTGATATCAAGGCTCTTAGACCCCAAGACGTCCGAGTACACGGCTGCCTTTGTGGGGCGCCTGGTCTCCATAGTGATATCTAAAGTGGGCAGTGGGCTGGGAGAAAACTTGGATCTGATGCTGAGAGCAATACTGAGTAAAATGCAGCAGGCGGAGACGCTGAGTGTGGTACAGGTATGGGAGATGGTCTCACCTGATTTTTTTTTTTTTTTTTAATCAGTGCAAGTGTGTGGGTTTACTACATTTAATACATTACATTTTAATTGTCAGGTGCAAAATAATTTTGAAAGATAAAGACTTCATTTGAAAATTTTAGGGATCATTTTTTTAAGCTATCATGTTGCCAAGTGTAAAAAAGGGTTTTTTTATTTATTTTTATTTTATTTTATTATTATTATTATTTTTTTAAATACTATCTGTCAAATTAATAATTTACCAATCGATGTCTGTGTTCTGTACTCCTCCAGAGCCTGGTGATGGTGTTTGCACACCTGATTCACACCCAGATGGACGCCGTCCTGGAGTTCCTCTACAACGTCCCAGGTCCCACAGGGAAGCCTGCCCTGGAGTTTGTGATGAATGAGTGGTGCTCTCGACAGCACCTGTTTTATGGTGCATATGAGGGCAAAGTTAGGTGAGCACAGACATTGTGAGGGTTTAAAAACATTGGTGGATCCAGGATTTTGTCAGGGGTTGGGGAAGGGATGGACAGTTTTACTATAATATTTAAGGTACACATATGGGAAATTTGCTAGGTTTTGTCTCATTTGGCTGGATGTACTTCCAGTTGGTGGCACATCACGTGTCTGTCTGCGTGCGTCATTGCGTTTGAAGTTGCTCCAGTCTGTTCTAAACAACCAATTAAGTAAGTTGAGAAAGTTCTGCTTTTCAGTTGTGTTTGCAATATCAAAAGGTTTTATCAGTGTGTTAGCTGCTCCAGTTGAATAGTGTTAGATATTCCAGTTTTTTTTTTTTTATCTCCAGTGCTGTTGCATTGAGCAAGTTACTCCAACATGCCCTCAACAACAATGACCAACGCCTGAGTGAGATTCAGGTGAAAGGGGAACAAATCTTCAGCCATGATGGAATAAGAACCAGGTCCAAGGCCTCCCAAGGTAAATATAGGTCACTTATGAACGTGATGAAGTTTTGATACTGTGAACTGTTTCGTTGAGTCCTGTATGCATTTGCACTTACAGAATTTTTTTATGTTATGGATGTGAAGGAATAAAAGTAAAATACAAATGAATAAATGCATATTGTTGAAATAATAACACGATGTTGCCTAAAAAAATTTGGAAACATGGTTACTTGATTTATTTGAAATGAAAGATTCCAGTTCCATAGCAAATTCTATAGGTAATGAAAATTTTGATGAATAGATGAAGATATAATTGATTATTATGAACTAGGTTTTTCATTTTTCTGCACTTGTTTTGATAAGTACAGCTCATCTTGAAATTCAATTTAGCACCAGAACAGTGGACCACAATCCCCCTGGTGGTCAAAATCTACAAGCTGCTGATCAATGAACTGTCCAATCAGCTTGAGAGTAACATGTCCACCCATGTCTCCGCGGCAGATGATCTTGATGAGGTAAGTTAACTGCTGTGTTTTGTTTGTATTGAAAAAAAAAACTGGTAGAAAAAGCTGTAGTGCGTTGTGTCAAAGGGAAAACATTGTTAGGATGGCAATGACTCAAATGTCAAATATCTTAATTGATTTGAAAAGGATAAGACTATATAGAGGGATCCATCTCTTGTGAACAAGAATTAAGGGAACCCTAGCATGACACTTTATTGTAATTTTTATGCATCTTTTGCAAATTCAAATAAAACCTAGGCGGTGGGAGATCATATGAATCAATTTTTTTTGGTTATGAACTAAAGAAGCTATGATGAACAGTCTGTATGCAAGAACTGTTATAAAATTGAATGCACTAATCAGATCTTCTTTTGTCAAACACCAGGGCGAGGAGTGGGAAGATGATGATGAAGATGAAGAAACTAGTGCAGGAGAGATGGGGGGAGAGACACTTGCTAGTTTACTGGACCACTTTGCCCCATCCTCTGACTTTCCTGGTAAAATATCATTTGAAGATATTTTTAATAAAAATAACAGCTTTATGCAGTTTGATTGCTATGGTAAAAACGTTGATTTCACCATGACCTTGACATCATGCTGTTCCAACTTTGATAGGGGGTTTGTACTATAATATTTCAATTGACACTAGTCTTGCAGTAATGACTATTGATTAACCCAACAAAAAACAATTTTCGTTGTAAATCTGTGAGAGAGTTTTAAAATTTTAGCCAATTTTCCAAGGATTTGTATAATATTGATACAAATTTTCAAAGGGAACTGGACAAGAAAGATTAAAGGGAAATTTTGTAAAGTAGTTTGTTAAGATGTGTTGCGTACAGATTGCAGTTAACAAAAAAAATAAATAAAAAAAGGCAGGTAGATCTGTGCTTCACTGTGCAAACTGTGGTGACGAGCTCATCAATTTTCAGCCATTGTTCTAGCATTAAAGACTTTGTAATTAGGTGTGTATGTTTTTTTATTGAAGGTTTTGAGGATGCAGAAGGAGAGGAGGAAGAGGAAGACCCGGACGCACTAGCTGACCCTGTCAATCAAATTGACCTGCAGGTAAGCCCGAAGACAGGCAATAAAGAAATCCTATACAAAGAATGGATATAAAATGTTTAAATCTGTACAGTCAAGTTGATATTAGTACTAGTTTTATAAGTAGAAGAGTACTGAAAAGTTTGAAGTTGTATTAGGAAGTAAATTTGGGAAATCCTATACATAGTACTGTGCCCAGACCCTTTAAGACTGGAGTGTTAGTGTTAGGATTCTTTCATTTTTGAGTAATTTGGTTTTTATAGAAGGTTTTTGCAGTTATTCACAAGACCAACAATATATAGATAAATGTTAAAAACTGACATGTTTGCTTGTACCAATATAAACAAATGGAAAAACGTTTTATTGTCTGGTACTCCAGAAAAGAACACTAGTAAATTGAAAAAGTATTGATACATAAAAGATGATCCTTTAAAAATGCCGAAATGCTGTGTGATATCAAATAGTAATGTTTATCTAGTTTTAGCCATGGCTTATCTATCATTGTGTTCATTACAGGCATACTTGACGGATTTCCTGCGCTCTCTGTCCCAACAGCCCATTTACAGCATGTTCAGTACGCATCATAACGACTCCGAGAGGCAGGTGCTCCAGGCCATAGGCATCGCCACTTGAATTAGGGGCGTCTGAAAAGTGTTTCAAGTGCTGTGGATAGACCAGGAATTCATGGAATTCCACTGACTGTGTGTACCAGTCCCCTGGTGTCTCATGGGACCCCTGGGGAGGGGGTGTTGAACCCTAATACCCCTGGGGATAGGGGTGTTTGACCCCACGGCCCCTTGCTAAATTGTTTTCCGAGGAATTTTCCTTTTTGCTGCTCGTAGTCCTGAACTTTTTAAAAAATATATATTTCCAGTATAGTGGAACATTAAATTATTGCCAACGTGGTGCCTCAACAGCAGTCACATGATAGTCACATGACAATCACATGGTTAATGCATGGAACTGAGGCTGGTTTCAGTGTGAGTTGGGGAGATTTTTTATGTGCACTGTATGACTGATACAGAAGATTGAATATTTTCAGAATTTGATGAATGTAGTTTGGATATCGTAAAAAACTGACCTTTTGTGTCATACACAAGGGTAAAGTTGGCGAATCTCTGATAATGTCAAAACTTAATATCAAAATTTTTAATTTCAAAAATGGCAGGGATTTGCTTCTTTTCATTGTGCTGGACATATAAAGAAGAAGCTGCCTTTGAGTGACTATAATAAAAAACTGACTTTATATGTTTGCGAACTGGGGAAGAGGGTAGTAGGGATTTTTAAACGAAAAATTTTGTGATTAAGCTTATTTTCTTTAAGAAAGAACAGCTGATGAGTAAAGAACTACAAGAGCATTCAGATTGCATGTCAAGTTCTGTTGATTTTAAGAGAGAATTCTACCCTATATGGCTAACTGAGCTCCCTTTCTTTAGGAGTGGATTAAGTGTGGCATTGTGTTTGAAGTTGATCCAATAAATTTGGTGCTTTCTGTGGCTTTGTATAATAAGAAATAATTGTCAGCAATTTACAGTTTTGGATTTTGAGATTTTGAATTAAGATACTAACATCTTCCAATCAACAAGTATTGCTTAGAACTTTGCGACTGTTACATGTACAAGAATCTGCCATTGTCATATTTTTACTGATGATGCCTAACATTTTTACATAAAAATTGTCAAAATATTTGCAAATTGCAGTAGATGTGTCTCCCTGCGGTATTGTGGTCGTGTGCAGTGTAATAACCTGATAAGTCACATGTCAATATCTGCTAACAAGGTCAGAAAAGAAAATGTAGTTTAATAAAGATAATATTTATTACAACTTCTCTTTATTTATAGAACAGTTGAGAATTTTTCTGTAGGCCCTACTTGTTAATTAAACGACAGTTATATTCCGTTGTCTTCTGTTACACCCCAACAGTGATATGCCTCATGTCTGATATTTGAAAATGTTTAAAGATGAAGTATTCACATTTTAAAGTGAAATCGGACATGCAATATGTATATGCACTGGTTCCGTGCCAAATGCCAGAATAGTGGATCCGTGCCATATACGAAAGTTCTCTGTGACACAGGTCCTGGGTAACGAAACTGAGGGTCAGTGTAACAGAAAGTCCGCCCTCTTTTTCATGGTTAGGGTTAACCTTATCCAAGTGGGACAAAATCTAGGGCGGGGCTTACCTGTACAAGTGAATGGGAAACGGACTCGATCATTGGGGACTCTCTCACGTTACACGGGCTCTCCATCGACTTGTACCTGTAGGTCTTTCGCGTCCTGGATTTGAACACGGTCACGTCATGCTCACACTAACCTATATGCATCTAATGGGAACTAGAGTCTCTGTTACAAGAAACATCTGTTGCTTAAAACCGGACTTGTAAAGTATTGGAAATTTGTCCAGGTACTGGTCAATATTTCAGCTTTACCACGACAAGTGCACCTTTGCCTTTATACGAATTTATATGTAGATACCAAGTAAAATGACTAAATTGGTAAAAATATTTTGAAAGAGTTGACTTCTAAAAAGACAGTCGATGAAATGGAGAAAATGGGGGATATTAAGAAAGATATACAATACTGTCACTTCCATGGGTAAAATATCACGCCCAAGAGTACAGGAGAACGCAAATAATTTTAAAAAAATAATAATAGGGGGATATTATAAGGAATGATATACAATTTTGTTACTGACATGGGTTAAATGTCACGTCCAAGAGTGCGGGGCAACACAAAACCGCTTACCATCATTTGAAAAATTTTGTCAATTTTTCTCAGTTTTGAAATGAGAATTTTGTTCACTTATATTCAGAGAGCCCTTGATAATTATTCAGATCTTCGTCTCTGAGTTTGGGAATATTAACAGATATAGTCTTCACCTTTTTCTTTGACTTGGGCTGTATATATTCATCTTTACGTGCAGTGAGTTTCCAAGGTTTCACTCTACTGGAGCAACTTGTAACAAAGCCATTGTATGAATTTATCAGACAGTTAAAGCACCATTAACAGAGCGTCTCTTCTATCTCACGGTCCGCTGAGGCCGATTCTACAGCCATTGGGACATGTTCTTCGCGGGTCAAGACGCTGCGGAGTTCCCCCCAGAGAGATATGTAACCATCTTGGACGTCACAAATCCTGCGTGCGCACACTAATGGCACGAGCACAGACGTAATGGCGGCGATGAAGCAGCCAGTCGTCTGCGCAATGACAAGATAGGCATCTATCCGCCCGCCGCTACTTGTCACCATGCCTATGACAAGAAATACGATGACGCTCGGGGAATAAAATATTGCCATCACTGCGAACAGACACGCAACAGTGATGTTAAATTCGTGCAAACTTTTCAAATCGGCAAATTCGGCGACTTGTACAACATGTATGACTTTTTCATTTTTGGGTCGTCTGGCGTTGAGTAGTTTCCTCGACTGGCGGCAAAGGCGAAAGAGAAGAACGCAGTCTATGACTGCCACGAGCACGGAGAGGGTACCAAGATACCAATTGGAGGCCATGATGTACGGGCCATTGTATCGCGTGAAACAGTCCTCATATGAGTACACGTTTGAATAAATAATATGAAATATTGAATAAATCACGACGGTGTAAACATAAATTCCAATTATCCCAGACACAATTTTGGTTCGGTTGACCACAAACTGGTACATACTTTGCGCTGTTCCGGCCACATGTTGATTGATGATGAGGCCAGAAATGGCGAAAAGTGGAACAAGGTGAACGTGACGTAATATATCAGCAATGACGTCATCGCTGCATTGGAACTGATGCCATCGGGGGGCGACAGGGGTGGTCTGCGACACAGTCGTCTGCTGCCAGAGCACGATGACAGAATTCAGGAATGACACGAACAAGATCAAAAAGCCCGATGCCGCCATGTTTATAAGAAGCAAGTGATACAGTTTTAAGGGTTTCTTCAAAAAGCACAGCGCTGTCATTCCAATGATGTGAACCAACAATCCAAGTATCTCTACAAACAGCTTACAAGGAAAAAGTATCCTCGCCGTTGGCCACAAATAAATGGCGTCCACTTCTGGCTTTACGAAAATACGAAATAAATGTTTAAGGTGATGTCCTGGCATGGTTTCCAAACCCTCCTCCTCTGGAGATGAATGGTTACTAGTAGACGGCAAAAAAGTGGAATACGACATTGTTCTTTCTTCACTAAAATGTGTCACCCTAGAAGCTGGCTTCGTGAATGCAAGTCTAGGCGATATCGCACCTAACACCTAAACCACCCACACCAGTTCAAGAACAAAGTCAATTCTGATATTCAGTCATAATCAATATGAAAACACCAAAAAGTGATTAGCCGGTGTTTACTGATTCCGCAGCTGTGTCGCGTCCAAGGCCGGATATTAATATGTGTAGTGTAGAAACTTGATGACGAGTCTTGGGATTGATGAAGCTTCTGGATGTTGCTAGTTTAGTTTGCCAGCTGCAGGTGCCACCGAAGCCACAAAGATGGTGGACTGCATAAAGAAAAAAGGTCCGTTTTGTTTGTGACTTTATTGTGTTCAGCGTGCGCCTGTCAAAACTGCAGGGCGTTTGTCAATCCCAGCACGACAATCACTCTTAACTCATAACTAAGTCGTACCTAGGCAAAAACAGTCCGTTCACGTGAAATAAGCAGTATTTGAGCGTGTCGGTTTCAGTAAGGTTGCCGCTATGTCAAAACCACTTCGAGTTTTCCGAGGTTTTCAGTGTTGTTGTAACAAGCTTTCTTAGCCGCTTGTCAAGTACGCACGCAGCATTCTCTTCTTTTCCTAGAGGAACGGAAGGTCAATCACCAGATCTTCTTAACCTTAAAAAGATAGGAAATTGAATTATAAAAGTTCTGAAGAGCCTGAATACGGTCTTATAGGTTAACTCAATATACATGTAGAAAATCCATAGACTACTGAGAATTCTCACATTTTCGTTGCTATGGGATTTCTATTCTTTGAAGTGGACAGAGCGTGATTGACAGAATTTATTCCCTTGTAAGTATTAGATTTCTTTAGGGGTTTCAAGGAATGGGAAATAAGCAATCTGAAGATAGGCTACTGTACCTTGTTTACAATAACCTTTCTGGTGACATTTGAAGCAAAAAAGCTATTTTCTCCGCCAGACAATGACATAAGGACAAAACAGAGAAGGTCCTAGGCGTTTGTGGCAGCTGTTGTTCTTTTCGAAAATCATTTTCGTTTTTGGAGACCTTTGTGCATATCTAGATGAATACGGCAACATTTCACTGTCATCTAATTTAGTAACGGAGTCAAAGCTCAATGCGGTTAATTATCATCGAGTATGTTTTTCAAACAATGTGCACTTATTGATTTAATTAATTTTTCAATACACAGTGTGTATCTGCGTTATTGCAATGATCTCAATGATCATGACCTAGTGCTTTTTCTCGTTAAGTACTTGCACGTCACCGACTTTGAACGCATTCAGAACAGCGTACTAACAGGTCCGCGGATCAGTTATGGCCGACCCAGTTGAAGGCTTGTTTCGTAATCCGCGATGAATTTATATTCAGTGTCTAATCGGGAATTAAGCGGCAAGCCTTCCAGTAGGTCGCCATATTTGATCCACGGATCTGTTAGTCAGCTGTTCTAAATGCGCTCTTTCGTACATGTATGGCGAAAGCCATTACCTCTGTCTACTGGCAACACGAAAAAGACTTCCATACTTCGCGCAATTATTCTTGGACTCTCTGTCTCCCATTTGCAGCATAATTATAGCTGTTAATGGGACCATATACGTAAAAACCAAGTGAAGCCTGCAGAGTTCTTTATCAAGATCGTAGAAAGTATAATCTTTGCTTGTTTCACTGCGGCTAATAATCATTCTACGTCCTGAAATTACGTCCTGTGGGAGGTAATGCGGTGCAGGCTTAATTTCTATCCTAGTTACGGCGACAATCTGTGTGGGCTTTTTACCTAGAGGTAATCAGACTGTAATTCATCGGTAAAATTCCCGTGGAATAGTTCTCTATATGTTGGAAAGGGTAATTTATGAGCATGAAACGAAACCAATAAAATTGTATGCGATACACACAAGAATATATAACTTTTTATGTTCATGTGTTGAGGGAGAGGGAAAGATGTGTTGCTTCCTTTAGTGATTGAACCGTCAAGGGGAGCATGATGGAAATAAGCAATCTGAAGATAGGCTACTGTACCTTGTTTACAATAACCTTTCTGGTGACATTTGAAGCAAAAAAGCTATTTTCTCCGCCAGACAATGACATAAGGACAAAACAGAGAAGGTCCTAGGCGTTTGTGGCAGCTGTTGTTCTTTTCGAAAATCATTTTCGTTTTTGGAGACCTTTGTGCATATCTAGATGAATACGGCAACATTTCACTGTCATCTAATTTAGTAACGGAGTCAAAGCTCAATGCGGTTAATTATCATCGAGTATGTTTTTCAAACAATGTGCACTTATTGATTTAATTAATTTTTCAATACACAGTGTGTATCTGTCACGTACGTCAGTCCCCAAAAAAGCAAAGGACTATACGATTCGCATAAAATAACATTATGCTGTGGCCTTGAAAAGAGCATAGATTGGACTAATGCACACAGTTCGTGATGACAAATACGTTTGAATGACAAACTCTACAAAACGCATTCAATAAGCACTAGATGGTACATCGCCAGACCAAAACACGTTTACGTCTTTGGAGTCAAAAGTCCACATTCGATTGAGTACTGAGTCATTATTGAATGGCAAAAGACGCATTCGATACTTTTTATTTTAATGAAATTGGATTACCAGAGGGCAGTTTTTCCTTCCTTGTCAACCTACCTGTCAAGTGCAGTGCAGGGACGATGTTTTGATAAATATATTACTTCGGAAGAGAGCAGAGATAAAAACGGTTTAAAGCTATCTTTTACAAACGCAATGCGTACTTTTAATTGCGTCTACCGACAAATTCTACCAGCGTTTTACTTACAGACTATTATTATCTATTACCATGTCGTTTTGAGGGTAATAATTAAGAAAGGGATTGAATGTTTAAGAATCGTTTTGACTTGTTTGTGTGTGTGTGTGTGTGTGTGTGTGTGTGTGTGTGTGTGTGAGAGAGAGAGAGAGAGAAAAAGAGAGAGAGAGAGAAAGGAGAGAGAGAGAGAGAACACCTTCAGTGGCTTCGGGGAAGCTGCTGGTCCGACCGGTTATGACTGCCTGAAAAGCCAGAGGAACGGTAAAATTACGTAAACATCGACTTACGGACCTGTACAGAATTTAGAAGACCTCAGGCCCCATAAACGATAATTGCAGCTTTCTAACACGAGCCTTAAATTTGGGAGCACAGAATAACGACTCCAGCCACGAATTAACTACCCCAACGTAGAATTACTTGCCACAAGCTTAGCGTTTTATAGCACAAACAACCCGGCCTGCAGATTTCTTATGGTGCAGGTCCTCAGGACTTTCAGTTCCTCCTTTCGTTTTCTCCATGAGATTGACCGAAGATAAGCTGACCGTTGCTGTCCAAAGATACGGAACATTTAACGTTGACATGGGACCAAAACGTTACAGTAGTTACATATAGAGACATATAATTCCTTAGTCTTAGATTATCTACATTTCTCTGAGGCTCCGTTTTGTAAGTTGTAATGATTTTATATTTACATTGGAATTTAGGACAAATGCTTGGAAAAGAATTATTCGTTTTTATACCAAAGAACATACTGTTGTTTTTGGCAAACAATCGACAAATAGTTACTTGGCATAATATATATATATATATATATATATATATATATATATATATATATATATATATATATATATATTAATGGAGTTGTACTGAAACTCGGTTCTGGCGAACTTGACAGCTGTTTTGACGTTTGCACGTGATATTGCATGTTTTTCTAATGACAAGACGAAAAACATTTTCCACATCTCACATCGATTTTTTTATGACAATATGCAATTTGGAGATCACGAATCGCTCCGAAAGATTGAGGAATATCTGACTGAGATGTAAAAGGACCCTTAGTTATCAATATGCCAACAGCTGTACTTGACGGTCCGTTGATCTCTTTGAAATGTCTCTGAATAGAATAACGGCGGAGATGTTTCACCTAAATGCACTTTCCTTAACATCTATATTAGTCCAATGTAAAAAGCATAGGAATTGATAAATTGAATAGAACACAGTCATAGGCGAATCCAACACATTTCACCCAAATTTCTTTTTAAAAGTCGGCGCCCATTCTGGTTCCAATTGAAAGAAAAGAAATGAAAAGGCCCATAAAAGGCTTCAAAGTTCTCAAAATTGCGCAGTTTCAGCCCTTCTTGATGAGCTGCATCAGTCATGGGTGACTGCATATTTTAGTACATGGCACGGTATATTAGCAGTGATATTTTAGTATATGGTATTCAGAGCAGTATATGTCCAATATTGATAGTATACTTTGGTACATGGTAAGGTATATTAGCAGTGATATTTTAGTATATGGTATTCAGAGTAGTACATGTCCAATATTGATAGTATACTTTGGTACATGGTAAGGTATATTAGCAGTGATGTTTTATTATATGGTATTCAGAGCAGTACATGACCAATATTAATTTATAGTATACTTTGGTACATGGCACGGTATATTAGCAGTGGTATTTTATTGAAGGGTATGCAGGGAAGAACATGACCAAGCTTTACATGTCTGATGATAATGGTATATTTTGGTATATGGTATGGTACATGGCCGATGATAATGGTACTGTATGTATATATTGGTATGTGGTTTGGAGCGTGACCAGTTATAATGGAATATTTTGGTATGTGGCATGGTATATGGCCGATGGTACAGTGGTATATTTTCGTATGTGGCATGGTGTATGGCCGATGGTACATTAGTATATTTTGGTATGTGGCATGGTGTATGGCCTGTGGTAATGTTATATTTTGGTATGTGGCATGGTGTATGGCCGATGGTAATGTTATATTTTGGTATGTGGCATGGTGTATGGCCGATGGTACAGTGGTATATTTTCGTGTGTGGCATGGTGTATGGCCGATGGTAATGTTATATTTTGGTATACGGCATGGTGTATGGCCGATGGTAATGTTATATTTTGGTATGTGGCATGGTGTATGGCCGATGGTACAGTGGTATATTTTCGTATGTGGTATGGTGTATGGCCGATGGCAATGGTATTTTGCCACTAATGAAGGCATATGTTTTGGCTCGTAGTATCAACATATGTCTGGTAGAAATTAGTTGTTATGTATGTCTGAAATAGTTCCTGAAGACTGTAAGCATGCTTATAAAACGCCCGAGACAACCAGCAGTTACTTAACGTCCGTGCCTAATACATTCTAACAGGTTCAAGTAAAGTCAACTTATAATTGAAAATATCAGTTTTGCGCTCACCAAATCCACCCTCAAGAGACATTAATGTGGACCATACCACAAGAGTGGTGCTTTGAGAGCGTTTCTGACATCTATATTGCCAAATAATAAGCCAAGGTTCATTAATTGGAACCAAAGATCAATGAATTATTCCAGAAATGAGCGGAATGTGAGATCCACGCTTCTACGCAACGACTTCTAGAAGAGAGAATGTTTTGACAGCCGTTCTGTTTTCCCTATTAATTTTAGATTAATAGGGGGTCTAGGGAACCCCTTTTTAATCAGTGCAGTGAGCAGAAGCCTTTGGAGACTTTTTCACACTTTAAAAGAAGAAATGGAGCAAGCTCTGTCCGACCATAAACGCCACGACGTCAATTCCTCAAACCTTATTGGGGTATGGCATACTAGAGGCCTATTTTGACTAATGTATATGTAAACGGGTAAAAAATGAAAATAATTTGTTGCTTATCGCTCAACTAACCTGATGCTTTAATTTCTTTTTGCCCTTTCTTCATTATATTGTTTATTTTCGCTGCATATGTCTGTGCGTGTGTTTTGCCTTTGGCAATCTGCTCACCACTTTGCCTTTTGTAAATACCTCACCGGATGCAATTTTCTTGCACACATTTTATATTGTCCTTTTATTTCCCGTGACCGATCAACTTTGACTCTTTTGACTGCTGAGGCGCCAATTTTACGTGGGCCGGCTTAATACATGCAGTTCAGTGGTTACATGTAGCGTTGAAAGACCATTCATGTTTATGAAGTCGTAAAAAGCCCATCAAAACTATATTTGCCCTGAGATTACGCGCACCAAGGCAATCATTATTACTTAGCGGGCTTTAACAATAAGATATCACACGTGGACTATATGCATTGTACATTGACGTACGTCTGTCATTTACAGAAAGAAAGGGGGTTGACGATTATCATATTTTATCAGAGGTCATCACTCTACTCAGTTCTGATAAATGATATATAATCATTATGAGCAACGCCTCATCTAAACAGAGATCTTTTGAAAAACGTAATTATAGGCAGAAGACGAAGCGTGGCTTATTTTTATCGATGGGATGATGACAATATTAATATAATAAAAACGGACTGTTTCAATTTCTGCGACAACTTCGATTATATGTTCAGACGATGCAACAGAATAATGGATAAATATGCCTTGCACGGAACGTGCACGGCCCAACTCCTGAAATGCAAAAACGCCATTTTGACTGCAAATTTTTTTCTTTAATATCTGGCGGGGCTGCCTTTTCTCCCCACTGCGAGTTTTCGTGCATGGTCTTGAATATTGGATCATTTTTCTATTCACTTCTGATACGCAGTTTTAAGGATTATATCTTAAGTTACATGTATCTGATGCTGATAAGTCACAAAACCTATAATGTTTTTTTTTTTTTTATTTTATTTATTTATTTATTTATTTATTTATTTATTTTTTTTTGCCGAAATCAGTTACTACTCTCTTCTCTCTTCGCAGAATTGAAAAAATAAAAAGACTTGGATATAAATTTTCATTTTCATCCAAAACAAAACCTCACAGCTATTGTTTTAAAAATTGCATTTTAATTTGATACTCACCATACCCATGCCCATGCCAGTCGGAGGGAACCACACTTCACAGCATATATCCAGAAAGCGTTGTCGATGGAGTTCGTACCGACAAAATTTTCAGAAAGATACTCGATCAAAAGCTCTAGATATTGACCGTTTTTGTTGTCAGCAGTGTTCTCGGCAGCGAATAGAGTAACAAACCTTATAAAAACGGCGATTAAATAGACATATACAGTCTGACTGTCAGGTTAATTGGCCGTTTCCAAGACAACCTCAGTAGTGGTCTCAATTTTTGTTGAATATTGCAAAGGAACGTCTGGCCAGAACTGTCAGTTGCTCCAGTCTTTACAGCGTTCCGGAAAGCATGCAGTTCTAGCAGTTTCGTTACGTCCTTCTTCTATACATGGAAACCGCGTTGAAATATCCAATCAGAATTGCTGAAAAGTTCAATTGGTTCCACGCAGATCTAAACAGCGGACTTGCAGGTGTCTTCAGTCTGGCAATCCAGTTAAAAACTGCACACTGTTGCCCAATCAGAATCGATAAATGTTGGCCATCCCCTTACAGGTATTTCAATAGCTTTCCTCTAGCTCAAGGCATAAGCACTGTATATGCACCAATAGCTTTATTGGGTATCTGACGCACTGGAATCGCCCCAGAAATACGTGCGTATCTCCAGAAATTGTTACGTTGATCTTAACAGCGTTCTTGGCAACGTATGCAGTGACAATAATAATAGCAACATGTCAAAATGTCTTTCACAAAGATTGTTGAAAAAGGACCGATTCGGCGTTGATCCAAGTAGTGTTCTTACGACCGGAAATATAGGCGGCTTGGTCGGCAAACGCAGTGAATGCAAACGCATTATTTCGGATTGACAGGTCGATCTTATCTGCGATCTAAAAGAGGTTCTGTGCATGTACCGAATCTACTTCCATGTCTTGTAATATACTTCTGACTGAAACGGCAGAAAATTCCAGCCCTGAAGTAACTGTGAAGAGTAGATTCTTTTGTTTATATCACTTTACCCTCTTGACTCAATTTGAGAAGTAGCAAAGCAACCTTTATCAAAGTGTGATTATGAGCTGACCTTTACAGGCCAAAAGGACAGTCCTTTCGAACCCCCAACCCCTCCTACCAAATACTATTAAAACCTTTAGGAAATTGAACAGTGTCCCATCTAGTCTGAGAAGCGTTATCGATGGCAAACGCACTGTTTTAGATATATCATGTTACGCAAGGAAAAAATGCAATTTGAATTTCCATTTCTTACATTAGCCCGTCTCTAAGTTACTCAGTGATCTGCGTTCTTCTCGGCGTATGCACTAAAATAATTGTTGGAACCCGTCACGGAATATCCATTCGGATTTGCCAGATGTTGGACCGTGTCCAATAGTTCGATTCAGTCGCTTAGCATCAGCTGACTTCGGCTTCGACTGGCCTGGTATTGCTTCCCCAATTTCCACACGCGATGTGCCACGGGAAATCAAATATTTGGCTTATCAGACGTTTGTTTTAAGTCGATCGACGTTTTTGCAGTTACTCGGTCGTCGGAATACCGGTCGCTGAGCACATATAAGCGCACCAGTCCCTTCGTTGGAATCCCCGAGGAGAGTCGTTAATCAAGTTCACAGACAAAATGACAATATTTGTCATGATTGAAAAAAATATTTCCGATCTGGTGGCAAATGAGCGATAAAGGGTTCTTGTGATTGATTTTAAAAATGTTATCACAAACCGCATGTGATGCAAGGCCATTCCGAATCAATGAGCAGCGTTACAAAATTACTAATATTCTCAGATGATGTACGTTCTTGTGGAGAGTGTTCACACATCATAACTTCGGAACGAACCAGAGCCGAACCACCACGGCATGAGGATTTGCCTGTATGGCTTCTAGTGTCTTCTTATAGACTGAACTTAGAGCGTAGCAAAAATGGCCGACACCTCAGCTGACATAGGAGGGAGCGTGGTACCTGGTGGGTACAAAGCTTCAGTTAGTGGGGTTGCGAACATGGAGAAGGCGGTAGGGGAGGGGGGGGCAATCAGTTTTGGAAAATTTGGGGTTTACGATAATTCCTGTGTGTCTGCTAACAAGACCCCTAGTTTGAACCAGTGAATGGCCGGCACAAATTGAAGTAAAGTAAATGGTAACAAGTCTGATATCCGCCATATTTTTCATACCGCTGCGCATATATATTTGGTCGATGTAGTGCCGGAAAAAATAAAGACCTTCCGAATAAAATATCCCGTCACCTATCCGTCATGATCAATAGTTCATGCGCTTTTCTCCGAAAAAAACATAGATGTGGGGTGTTTTGGTAAGATATCAATATAATTTGGCTGTAGCTTGCTCTGTAAATACAGTTATCGCTTTGGGAAATAAAAGAAGTTCGCATGATTGCAAAATACGATATTTTGTCATTTGCTCAGAGCTGATGTAATAGGGGCGGATCCAGGATTATTTGAAGGGGGTCCGTGGATGCGAAGCCGACCCTTCCCCCACCTCACCGCCCTACTTGGTGTTTTAGAGGGCGAACGGCGCTATTTGGTACGGTTTAGAACTATGATTCACCTTGTCAAAATTCTAATTTCAAGAAGGGACCAGAAATAGAAGGACCCCCTGACCCCCCCTCTAAATCCGCCACTGTGTAAACAAAACAAATGTAATGTTGCTTGCTTTTGTTTCGTTTTTCTTTAAATGTCAAACCAATTAGGATTGCTGCAAGTAATATTTTCAGTAGCCATAAAAGGCAACATCGTCTATTCCATAGCTGTTAAGGGCGTTTTTCTCTTTACTCTGGGCATATTCCATTGCATTTGCAAATGGCTTACATTTAGTATGGGCGGGTTTCACATATATATGATTTTTAGAGTGCATCCATTGTTGACCTGAGGACTGTTTCACAAAAGAGTCGTAGCACGAAAGCTGGCCTAAACTTATAAAGCACAGATTTTGTAGACTTTTACACAAGAAGAATCTGTAATAGTGTTTGTCAGTGGACCTGTTACGTATACATTAGACGCAAGGCTAATGGTGCAGACCAGTACTTGCTCCGTGATAATGGCTAGCATGTGACATTAAATAAACGATCTTTGGAACATTTAAAATTAATAACGCGTCTTGGGTTCTTGAGTTTTGAGATGATTATTTATTGACCACAGATGGTGTTTTTCTAGAAAATTCGTTTGGATGCAGTCATTTGAGTAAAGGTGGATTAGCCATTAAGGGGAAGGTATTGGATGCCGGACTAGAGTATGAGATTTTTTACTATACCTCGTTGTGTTTCGGAAAATAAAACTAAGTTTCAGTGATTTATATCTATATCAAAATTCAGTGTCAATACAAATATTGTTTACTGTGTGATATTGTTATCGTTTTCTATGTTTCGTCATTTGTGAATTGTTCTGTGTATGCAAAACTGTTTCAACATATTGATTGCTTGAACTTTTGCTTATATGCAAAATTAGAGCACAAGAAAATAAGGCCCGCTTACATGTACCAGCCAGTCAAACTCAGCCACTTTTCAATGCTATGTAGACCGAGATAAGTCAACAGATATTACCGATCTAACAGTGTAGATTACACGGAAATGATGTTCGGGCTTTCGTGACTGAATAATTTATCAGCAAACGGTATGCTAAAAAATTAAAAATATATTCATTGGGTCTTAACCGCTTTTGTGACGTAGGCATTACAGATAATCTTTTATGTTTTTGGCACCACGGCATAGGAGCGTTAACGATTTTGTAGAATAATCGAAGGAAATCGGATTTAATGGGAAAAGTTATCAGATAAAAGTGAATGATTTATAGCAGTTTCACAAATGTGTTATTTCATTCAGTACTAATTACAAATGGAAGTGTAGCAGCCCTCACCACTTTCGTATGATTTACAATGCAGTAATAGTACAACGCAATAAATCTAAAACTAGCCGAAAGCAGATTTTAATGCTTATCTGCTTTGTTCCAAACACCGTCACGGAATTTATTCTTACTTCAACACGTACAGAATACGCTATGGGAATTATCCCCTACATGCACAAATAATGTAACAAAGAAAGATCGGCTGAAAGATTAGACTTGTGATTTTAACATTTTTCATTTCAGATTACTCAGATTAATGTTACTGCAAGCTGAAATTACATGTATCACTTATGTGTATAGTATTACTACCTCTGATATCATGAGTGCCGCGCACCCATACAAGTCTCTTTTATTGCATCTGCGACAGCAGCGTTGATTGATTTTTATTCCATATGATGTAATGAAACATAACCTTCCTGGACTTCAAAGTGAATAATTAACGTGACCGAGAACGATCTGTGCTCGTTGCGTTGAAGCGAAAGAAAAAAGTGCCGTTTATGATATAATCATTACCGAAAATAATTATAATCAACAGCTTACCATTTCCTGGAGGATGTGGTTCCAATGCTGGGTTAATTATCCCAGTGGCACACCCTGGGTCCTGAAGTCCCTGGAAATTCACCCCTGTTATCAGATACTGGAATGCGGATAACAGGACTGTCTCCTTTAACCCCTGAAAGTCGGGGTGCTGTGAAATGACACTTTATAAATAACCAGCGAGCGGACGTACTTTTGGGGTGTTTTAGTCATACTGTAATTATCACCCTGGTTATGTGAACAGGAGCAGGAATTGTGCAAAAATTCAGACACAATTGGTAGTGATCGAAGTCCCGTAAAAGTACAACAGAAGATAAGGATACTATATATAGTGCAATAATGTATCCACGTTATGACACCTTAGGGAATTTGACAGATTTGCCGCCACATCGCTTCTGTCGTTCTTTGACGTTTCCAACGACGCATAGAGCTACATGTGCCATTAGCCGTAGAACGGTTGATAGTAACGCATATACCGGTATGTAAGGGAAGAAGCAGCACATTGAAACCAAATGTATATAGGCCTACATGTACATATCATGTACACAGTGCATCAGTACACCACGAAAGGCCTGACGCTGAAGTTAATCGGTATTCTGATCGTAGAATATATGCCCATGCGTATGGTACGTACTATGTCAAGTATATTAATCGACACAAAATACTGTTGTCCTTCCTTAGGCCTAATGTTCAACGAAAATGGCGACACAGGGGAGATAGGCACAACCAGCACCACCCCCCACCCCCCGTCTTCCTTCTATTCGTTTGTGTACACCCTACACCCCTCAAAATAAATAGATATAAAATCAATGTTACCAAAAATGATTGCGAATTTTTATATATGTGACCGACATCGGTAAATAAAAAGTTGCTTTCGCAAATACCGGGACCCTCGAAATGAATTGTTGTCGCATAGGCCCTATGTAGAAGAACATTTGCAAGCGAACGGCAAAAGTATTTTAACGACAGAAGTTCAGCAGCACAACACATCAATCGACACAAGAATTCAGCATCTCAGGTGGAAAAAATTAAGTAGGCCCCCTACTGTATGTTCTTGCTACGTACGTACGTACGTACGTACTAAGGTCCATATGCCATTTCTTAAGATGGGCACTAGGACTTGCAAAAAAACTGGGAAAACTTCTACTTTCTCGGAAAAAGATATACGTAAGTAATTAATCGAGATTCCTGGCACGGAACTCACGTACTCACAAAATTCTATCAACTCAATTACTCAGATATCTTAATTACCTTTTCTATGCTAGTCACTTGTACTCAAAGTAATTAACTTTCTGAACCCAACTGGTTTTTCAGAATTTTTCAGATCATACTAGTAGTTTTCTTTTGCCACTAACAAAATATTGTTGGGGAAATGCAAGAACTCATCAATTATGCTCAATTTTCGTGAGTACATTATATCTCTGTGCACCTCCCCCCCTCCGTCGATGTCCTTTACCTTCCCATTCTACCCATTAACCCTAAACACCTCAGAAGTGACCATTATTCGACGTTTTTTTCTAAGAATGGGTAACAGACATGTTTTTATGTGTTCCTCCCCACCCAAATGAGGCCGCCACCCCTCCCCCTGTGGCATTGGATAGCAGGGGTGTCTTGTCTTGGATACAACTACTGCGACACCTATATGTTATTTACACAACCCGGAAGCGGCCAATGATTGGTTAGTGATGGGCAAGCACAAACAAGACTTCGCTTGTCAATAAATCGTTGTGTGCGATTTAAAAGGCCGCGGCGTCTGTTCTTGCCATTGACAACTCAAATCGTCAGGTAAGTAAAAGTTTACAGTTAAATTCGAAGATTTTGCAACATTGTTTATGTGTTTTTTGCATTTATTTTTTCTTTGCAACACTAGAGTAGGCGGCACAGACATGCAGTAATACAACTGTAGTACATCCACATTTACACGTACATGTACAGTACTGGCACATAAACGGGTAGCATATCTTCTTCAGTGCCAGTGGCCTGCAAGCTCCATCAGACCGGCTCCACCACCATTATTTACTGTACACTACAATACAATGCCACCAAAGAGGAAAGCTCCTGCTGGAGGAAAGGCAGGGGGAAAGAAAGCCAAGAAGGCGGACTCTGCCGCTGCTGATTCTGACTTGCAGACTGCCATTAAAGCATTAAAGTCCACAGGCTCTGGGAAGAGGAAGAATATTAAGGTGGACAAGTTGTGTCCGATAGCTGGTAATGTGGACGTAAGTATGCACCAAGTACATGGACAATAGAGTGATAGATTAATGAAATTGAGGGGTGACCCCCTCTCCCCTTTCTTCATGTGTACCCTGAGTTTGAGACACACCCCTCTATTGAGAATAGTACTTTGCAGGCTTAGACCCCGAGTCAACCAAGATCCAACTTCAAATAAATAATTTTTGTCATCATCCCCCCCCCCCATCTCATAACTTATCCTGTTGTGTTGTTATTTGTAAGTGGATTAATCCACTGCTTAACATTTATTCACTCAAAAGGTTGTTCTTTATATGCACCAATTAATACATATGATATTGAATTTGCATTATTATATTTTAATTCCCCCTTTACATGTAGGTGTGGGAGGAGTATGACTGCATGCTGAACCAGACCAACATAGGGCACAATAACAACAAGTACTATGTCATTCAAGTTCTGAAGACCAAAGTTGGCAATAATTTCTATGCGTGGAATAGGTGGGGTAGGGTGGTAAGTTTATATGGTAATTACTCTGAAAATTTGAACAAAACTGAAAAAAAATTACATTTCCCAGTATATATTTATCCTAGGCTGACACGTTACAAATAAATTGAAAAAAAAATGAAGCACTAAAAAGAAAATAAAAGTGATACTTTAAAGTGGTTCTTGACAAATAATTATGTTTTTGAAAGTGACAGAAAATGATGGTATTAGAAAAATGGAATTTGGATACTGGTAAATTATTGTTGATAGCTTATGATGGTAAAAATAAAACTTGATTATAATTTTCTCAACAATTTTGAATAGAGTATAGATTGTGCCTTATTGTTAACTGTTGGAGAATTGTTAAAGTTCCCAAGAAAATTTTCATAGCTGTAATTTCTTGTTCAAGGTACCATAGTAAATATTAATTTCTCATGAATTATTTTCTTTCAATAGAAAAAATGCATATTGATTTATTTTACTAATATGTCAGTGCTTTTATTTGAGAGAGTTGCATGTTTTCTACCATTGAAATATTTCTGTCTTCATTTTTTTTTTGGTTACTTATTTGTTTATTTATTTATTAATTAATTAATTTATTTATTTATTATTGTTTTGTAGGGAGAGTCAGGCCAGGACATGTTAAAGGGACCATTAGACGAGAAAAGTGCAGTGGCTGATTTCTGCAAGAAGTTCCGTGACAAGACCAAGAACGCCTGGGAAAACCGTGCCAGTTTTACACCTCATCCTGGGAAATATACCCTCTTAGAGATGGATGATGACGAGAGTGATGATGAGGCAATGGAAGAGACCAAAAAGAAAGTAAGAAATAGGGACTGTGATAATGCATGTTCACCTTAAATTTGTAGATTTTGGCAAAATGTGAAATGCTTCTTTCTGTTGAAGCTTATATAGAAATATGCAGAAATTTCCATTGATATTAGTCCAGACCAATGATTTGCCAGTGGCTAAAAATATCCAGCAAACTGATGAAAACACCTTTCATCTAAGGATGAGCATTGAATTGGTGCCAGTAAATACATGATATGGTATATTTATTGGATACAAAATCATCAGATGACTCATAAAAATGCGGTAGTGTAAAAAGTACACTTCATGTTTGAACTTGTCTGTTTCAAGAATTAATTTTCATTTCACAAATCAGATAATTACACTGAATATTTGAAACAATGAACTTAAACCAAGTACTCCTTATGAATATATCTGAGACTGAGGATTAATATGTCATATCATACTGGAAGGTTATGTAACACGCGTTACAAGGACATTATTTAGTATTGTTACATGCACTTGTTTGGCCTACTCTTGATAAGCTTATATAATCATGTTTCCTTGCATAATCTTTGGGTTATACAAAATGTGCTGAGTATCTGTATTTATCACTATATGTAAGTTTGAGTACTACCATAGTATGTAGCCGTAGATTCTATGTAGGTTCATGTAATTAATGTATTCTAGTAGTTCTTGACAGGTCATAATCAATGTAAATTAAACTAATACCAAAGTGCATGATAAAAATGAATAAATGCTCACATAAACAGACAAATGGCTCAAGAATTATTGATTTTCACAATTATATGTAATAATAAAAGTATTCTTCTCCAGCTTGCTGCATTAGATGAGGCTGACATGGGTGCTGCCCCCTCCCCCATCTTACCATGTAAGCTGGATAAACCCACACAGGACTTGATGAAACTCATCTTTGACACAGACATGTTCAACCATGCCATGAAGGAGATGGAGTTAGGTGAATATAATTTGTTTCATAAATGAAAAAAAAAAAAAAAAAAAACTACAGCCAGCTTCTTAGTTTTCAAGTTCTCATATTTGCCTGCTTCTGAGTTGTTAATGTACGTACTGGTACATGTACATGCACTTTGTGTCTCAAGTGTATAATGTGACTGTTTAATTATCCACTATATTTACACAGACGATTAAAAAGTTGCTTCATACGGTACATTGTATTAGATGGAACAAGCTTTTATGCAGGACTGTTTACAATCAGATTAAAGGTATATATATATATATATATATATATATATATATATAAATAAAAGCAGCAAGTTCTCTTTTTTCAAAAATGCTGACAAAACACGCTCCTATAATCATATCATATCATATCATATATGTAATTTTGTGTCTTTTGTAGATGTTAAAAAAATGCCACTGGGCAAACTGAGCAAGTCTCAAATAGCAAAAGGTTTTTAAGTACTGGATGAGATAGAGAAAGCAGTCCAGGCTGGTAAGAAGAACAAACTGCCAGAGCTCTCCTCCAAGTTCTTCACTCTCATTCCTCACGACTTTGGCCGCCAGAGGCCGCCAGTGATCAGCACCCAAGAACTGGTTAGGAAGAAGATGGATATGCTGCTGGTGGGTTATGATCTGTATTGGTTGTAGTGATTGTGACCTGTATTAAAAACCTTTTTGGTCACCTGCCCCTTTGAGATACCAGCTAGGAGCATGTTTCGCCAAAGAGCTTTACTTACTTATACAGTCTGAAAATTTAGCTACGTCTTTCTTGCCTATTAAATATTATATTTAATATGTGGACTACTAATGTTTAATTTTTGGCCAGATAAAGCTTATAGATTGATCCATACATAACTGCCAATTTAAAGGCTTTTATACAAAAAATGGACAAGACTTTTAAATCGATATACAGGGTATTTATGATAAGATCTTCTGGGGGTGTTTGTCAATTCATGCTGTGTGATTCATTGAGTAATTACCATAAATTTATCTATTACTGAAAAGATTCAAGTGAAGGTATATTTTTAATTTTGCTCATTTAGGTGTTGGCTGACATAGAGCTGGCTCAAAGCATGCAGAAAGAAAAAGAGAAAGAAAAGAAACCTGGCAAGAAGGTAAGAGATATTTTTATTAGCTAGGTTTGATATAAAAATTCCTGTATTGCAAATCACCATGCTGATCCTACATGTGTTTCACTGGCAAGAGCTAAACAATATTTGTTTAAGTCTTGATATTACACATTATTTTACATATTTGCTGTCAGAACCAGTGATACATGTGTTATACATGTACTAGAAACTCGAGTCAGACCAACAAAACATGAAAAATAGCATATTTTGAAAATTAATTATATTATTTTCAGTTCCTTTCAATTTATATTTTTATTATTATTTTATATATGTATTTTTTAAATTAATATTTCTTTAAAACCCCAAAAATGCAATTTCTACCTAAAAATACCATGACATCTTAAATTCACAACTTTTATTTTTCCCTCTTTAAGTATCACAATAGGAAATGAAATCATCAATTTTATTGACATTAGGAAGTAATCAAGGTAATCATTGTATCAAATATGACCTTAGATCTGTCCTTTGACCTTTATTTCTGTTTCAGGCATTGAATGAGGCCAAGCCCCACCCACTGGATGTCAACTATGGACTGCTGAACTGTGACCTGGAGCTACTGGATAAAAAGTCCAAGGAATATAAGGCAAGCTAAAATAATCATAATTACATTGATTTTGTTGATTTTATTATTATTATTATTATTATTATTGTTATTATTATTATTATTATTATTATTATTATTATTATTATGTGAATCCCTCCTGCTATTAGATGTTCTTCTGGGTCTTTTTTTCTGTGTGTCAGCTGCTTCCTGCAGCTTAGACACAGGCTTTTTTGCTATATGTGAGCTGTTCCAATATGACCGACAATTGTGCATTATTATTATTATTATTATTATTATTATTATTATTATTATAACTTTTGTTGTTGTTGTTTTATATGAAAATAAAATGTAATTAAGTTAATTGTTTGGTTCCAGTTGATAGAGGAGTATGCTATGGCCACAAAACACTGGCGTAAAGTCACATTGCAGGAGGTTTGGAAAGTGAACAGACACGGAGAGGTGAAACTTAGTTTGTGGAATTTTTTTTCCATCAAATAATTTATTTATTTTTACTATTTATTTATTTATTCACAAGAAAGGACATTTTCCTGGTATTTTTGGAGGATTTCCTCTTTTTGATCTCATCGATAATTAAAATCAAACTCATTTTTCTTTGCCAGCCTGTTTAATCGTAATTTTGACAGCGCAGATCTTACAGCAAATACGGTATTTTTTACAATTGTAATTCATACTTTAGGGCCATCATCCATGATAGGCCAATCAAATAAAGACATTCTTTTTTCAGATTTAAATAGAAAACCATGCTTTTATTAATGGTAATGTTTTATACCTTTCCAGGATACCAGATTTACCGAGCACAAAAATTTAGACAACCGCAAATTGCTTTGGCACGGGACTAATGTGGCTGTAGTGGCGGCCATTTTGAAAGGTGGTCTGCGTATTATGCCCCACAGTGGGGGCAGAGTGGGGAAAGGGATATATTTTGCCTCTGAGAACTCAAAATCAGCAGCTTATGGTAAGAAAATAAATTTTGAATGGTTTTTTAGTCTTTTTTACACTGCGACTGTAGGGTTTTATCTTGGTTTATATTCAAAACAATTTTATGAAATTAGTCCCTTAAATGTTGCCTCTGAGGACTCAAGGTCAGCAAAGCATATGGCAAATGGACATCTGTGAAAACATGATTACTGGTAATAGCTTTTCTGTTATGGAGTACAATTTGGATTTAGCCCATAGTTACTTATGGAATAAAGGACAATCTTGGCAAGACTGGATTTGACGGAAATTAAGATGCACAAGCATGGGCTTCATGTTGTTATATAAAAATCACATTTAAATGAGATTGATCCATCTTATACCCGTTTTTTTTTTTTTTTTTGATCTGCATGTTCAACCCTGTATTGAATTACTAGTACTCATTTCTTCAGAGACCATGATTTTCTACTTTGTTTAATATAAATTTTGATATTTTAGTCATAACATACTACTGGGTACATATATAATAATGCCAGGAGAGAAGAGATTCACTGCTAGAGTAAACTTTTTTGTTATTATAGTCAGGTGCAGTGGTAATGGCACAGGCATTATGTTTGTGAACGAGGTGGCACTGGGCAAAGAGCACTTTATAACCAAAGACAACTGTCAGCTGACAGCGGCACCTAAGGGCTTTGACTGCATTATTGCTAAAGGACGCACTGAACCAGGTAGGGAACCAAGTGTGAATCAGGGATGGACAGAGGCCGTCTTCTGGGTCTTCCAGCAGATGATCAGAATTTTCTAATTTACATTTAGTGACATCTATATTTTCTGGTGGAAAATGGGTCAAAAATGGAGGATGGATCAACAAAGATAATTTGGAAGACCCAGAAAATATCTCTGGATCTGCCCCTTTGAATATGTCAACATTGTATGGTATGGTATACATATAGTGAAGTGTATGATATAGTATAACTTGCTGGTGTGCTAGGAATGAGGCCAAGTCGTGGTGACATTTCCCAATTACTCGCACCCTCCTAAGAAATAAAGAATAGAAATATGGCATGGATTCTCCATACAAAATTGATTGTCTATAAACACCAAATTTTAATATTTTCAGCCCTTGCCTACCAAAAAGAATTGATAATGAATATAATGATATTATGTTGTTGATGTTATTATTATTATTATTTCTGTTAAAATAATATTTTATGACTTTAGATGATATTCTCATTTGAGGTTTTTATGTCTTGGACAATGTAACTATAGCTACAGATACTTTTATCCCATGCAGTTTGCTAGAATTTAAAATGTTAGAATTGTGAAAACAAAACAAAAATATGATTTTGATGAACAAAACTTGAATTATTGTATTCTCAATTACAGACCCTAAAAAAGACAAGACCATGGAAATAGAAGGCCGCACTATCACCATACCTGTGGGGAATCCCGTTCCACAGGACAAGTACAAGGACAGTTATTTTTCCCAGAGTGAATATCTAGTCTATAAGGAGAGCCAGAATAGGATAAGATTTCTTTTGAAGTTGAAAATGTATTAGGAATGCATTTAGGGTTATGAGGCTTTTTTTTTTTTTTTTGTTTTCATGTGCACACATGTATTATATTAGTTAAGAAAATGATATATATACCATTGTTTTAGTCTTTTATTTGAATAGCAGATCTTAATGTTTTCAATATACAAGCTATTTTTAAAAGCTTATTTTTGGCAGATTTTTAGCCTTTTGAATGTCGTGAATTATCATATTATTTGCTTACATATAGTACAATACTTAGCTAAATTTCCATTTTCGTACATGTACAGTGTACAATGTTCATTTGTACCCTACCATGCACTAAATATTTGACACAAATTTTCCTGACTTAATGTATAGTGCAATGTAGTTATCCATGTATGTTGGCCATTGTTGTACACATAAAACAAACGATTTGTTTAACTGTTGGACTTATTTAGTATAATATTCTGCAAAATACTCCACATATGTATATCACAGCTCAGAGCTGTCATTATCCCCCACAGTCATGTGTATGTTATGTATGGTGTATCTGTTTATTTTTGTTTTTCATTTTCTGTGATCACATTTACCAGTTAGACACTGGTATGGATAATTTGTGTGGAATTGATATGTTGATAAATATATTGTGATATTTGATAGGGTTAGATCATTGATTCTGAGCTTTATTGCAATCTTTCATATCTGTGATTTTTAGAGTATTTTATAGTATATATTAACTCTTATCTTAGGTTCATACCTGTACATTCTTTTAAGTTTGTTGCATGATATGTCTATTTTTTCAAAATATCTGATCAATATAATTTTAATTTTTAACAATTTAAAGGTAGATGAGTTTTATAAATGTCATATAATATAACAGTTTTGTTATAATTGGGCTTGAGTGGATTTTTAAGATGCCATTTAAACGAAGTGATGCTGTCTGCTATATCATGATTACAAATCTCTCTATGGTGAAGGTTACTTATATAGGATTTAGAAATTTGACATACATGTACGAAAATAATCATAATAATATAAAAATAATATGTATGAAGTTGATGGAAAATCATGTCATGGCAAAAGGTTTTAAGAGGAGAACCTGGAAAATGAGAATAAAGTACATTTATCTCCATAATATAAACGCTTTTCGGAATTGACAATTGTCGTGCAGAACCGTCACGTTAAGAATTCCATCGGTAGTTAACTGGTATTTGCATAAAAAATAAGTTATCAAATCTTGTCCAAATGGCAACATGCATGTTCTAGAAGTCAACAGGAACAGTGCTTTCATGTAGCAACATATATACGTTACGTGGCGTGTCTAGGGCATTGCACGTGCCCTGGGCACCACTTAAAGAGGGCACTGTCCTTTTAGCGCCTTGATGTGTTAAACTGACGTGTTTTAAAACGCAACTGACCCGCAGTTTTAACATGATTATATGGCAAAGTTATAATTATGTCAAATAATTGACATAAAATTATGTCAAATGGTAAAACTGGGGCGCAATTTTAATGGCGACATGGACATGCACTGCTCTCCGTAGACAGCCTGGAGAAACATATCGATTCCTGCCTCTAACGAATACAGGCGTTCCAGATGGAAAAGCACCCGGGTGTGTTCTACATTAAAAGAAAAGTCTCCAAGTCTTTATTTGTTGCACTCAATAAAACGCCGGTGTAGGTTTCCGTTGTGGTATCTCAGCTACAGGTAGCTTGTCTCCCATCCAAGGCCTACATATAGAAAAGAAAATGTTACAGGCATTCAATAATATACAAACAGAAACTCCCTGTAATATTTCCAAAAAAATCTTAAACATAAAGACGGAAAGATGATGGTCAGAATTATGTGCCTTGGAAAACCCTACTCTTTGCTCAAGGTCAGTATGTCTAACATACTGGCAAATGTAGAAAAAAGAGTGCGTGATCTTATTATAGAAATTACATGTATAATACCGAAGTAATGATGCTTATTACTATCATACTCAAATATATCACCTGTAATACATCCGCGGGGCTTCCTTAACATTAATTGGCTGAAATACTGCAATAGAAGAATTTCGACTAGATGACGACCTCGTGCCCGCACTTTGTGATCGTGTCATTGGCTTACTCGCACTGAGCGTCCTCAAATGTTGTCCACTTGAAGGCCCAAGTTGACAGTTCCTTGACCCTTTGGTCCTGGGTATAGATCCGTCGGCGCTTTGCGGTTTGGTTAACAAAGTATCTCTTGAAGCTTGTGATGTCGACGATGACGTCAATCGAACCTCTTTCAACTGTCTGGACGCGCTTGTACTGACGTCATCAAGCGAAATCGAGGACCTAAGTGTGTCACTGTCTAAGCTGGTTTGTCTGGGCATGCGCGTCTCATTACACGTGATTGGACGGTTTTGTTGATGCTTTTGCTGTAGGCTTTTGTACAAGTTGGCTTGTCGAAGAAAAAAATGAAATGTGTTAATTTCATTCACACATTTTACCAAAATAAGTACACCACAACAATTTTCCATCTACAGGTATATTTAAAAAACGGTACTTTTTTTAACTTTGTAAAACACCTTTTGACGACGCAAAGTAGAATGTTTTAATCAGGCGTTGGCCAAGATATAAACATCTGAACCTTACCATGCCAAGTGATACATGTATGACACGCTTTATTTATTTTTAGAAACATAAGAAATTATGTGAAAAATATTCACCCAAAATTTCACTAGTTGTTTTAGGTCTAGTTTCACTTAGATGTCGTCTGATGTTATTTCCATACTCTTTCCTCCTCTGCGCAGCCCGACTGGCATATGTCGTAGTTGACCCACAGCGGAAAGAAGTGGATGTGGCAGCAGATTTCGCGCCCTCTGTTTGGTGATGTAAGAACTTCATGGGAGATTCGTATCCCTTGCCATGAGGCATCGGTTCTAAAATAGGCCAATATACATTATCAAAACATACGCCAAAGATGAAGTAGAAATTGAAAATTATATATATATATATATATATATATATATATATATATATATATATATATATATATATATATAAACAATGATACGAATAAAATGATCGATGGTAATGATTTAATAACCTGCAATAGGTTGGAACAGTTTCGGCAGTATCTGAGATAATTGAGACGACATTTTAATATTTCATTCAGTTTAGAAATGTGAAAAGTTCTCAAAATATCAATCAAATTCGAAAAATGGTTAAATTACAAGATGCCATAGTATACAGGCTATGCTTTTTTTTTCATTCAGTGTGCAATTTCTCACGAGTTTGGCAGTAATTTTTCACAAAATGTTTCACAAAATAGAATATACCATACTGCTTACATAAAACATGGGCTGACGGCGATATTCTATAATCAGTGATTATAATTATCAGGGGAACGGTCGTTAAATCAGTGACGACGATGTTAATCAAAGATCATTTCAAAGGTTACACGTATCTATACCCTTTTCTGCTGGCACCTTTCTTAAAAAAATCTTCAAAACCATGGGACACAAAATGATTCACATAGTTGAGAAAACAATGTGTAAGAATTCAGGTATCACATTCAACTAGGGTACAACAAACCTAACATGCATATGAATAACCCCCATGCCACTGCAACTTTCACCCGCGGAAAGGCGGATCCTGGAAAGGGGCGGGGTTGAGCACTGCGGGGCGGAACCGGAATTTCAAAATAAAAAAAAAAAAACAAAAAAAAAAAAATGAAATTAGCATTCTTTAATGTGCAACGAGAGAGATCATCCATGCTCATGCATACTCTGCAAAACCCATTTTCCTCGTGTTGAACATGCATTATCCAAGTGCAAATGATATTATGGTGTATTCTTTTTAAACAGATTTACAAATCACAGTGTGTAATGTTAATTTATGAATTGAAAATTGTTTGGAATCAAATACAGAAAAACCTTTATATCATTGGAGGTCAAGGTCAAAAGTTCAATGTCAAGGCCATGCATCAGGGTCAAGGACATACAAGCATGCACTATGCCATGTATTAGTCATCTTACTATAGCCCTTTGCTGTACGGCAAGTATGCTGACCGTGCCGTTCAGATGCACAGGCTATGCACCAGCCACTGGGGCATTTCTGTATAGCCGGCAGCTGGAAGTGCCTCCGCAAACGACTGGAGGGCGCTGACGTCGAAAAAAGTGATAGAACGCAACCAAAATTAACACACCTACAGTGTACTTATGCAATCATTTCTCTGTAGTTAGGGGCGAAATACTACTTATATCGCCATGTCGTAAAAATCAAATATTACGATCGAACAACTATACTACACGTAAATACACTCAAAGCTAGAGAGAAACAAGCATTTTGATAATGTTGAATAACAGACCGTCATAATAATCCCAGTTTATACGTTTTACCTCAAAAGTTGAGATTGACTCTGAACTTCATATGCCTTACCCTCTTTCGATTTTTCCCTTGACTTTGGCATCATATTGATGACATTGACGGTGTGAGGAACATTCAGAGAGTACAGGAATCTGGAATAAAAGCCATTTAGAGAATATCATCATTCATTGGCGTTTTACAAAAAAGAAAAAAAAAACAAAACAAATAAAATATCTGAAACTTGTGCTTTTAACGGGTGTTATTATTGCAAGCAAGTAAGAATGGTTAGGGCTCATGACGTCAGTGCGTAACCTGCCGTAATATTTGACGTCATTATGACGTCATAAGCTCACCTGTCATAGAACCTGTTGACGTCAGGATGCTCCATACTTGTGACACTGAGGAAGTTTTGACTATCAGGATTGATCTTTATGGCTTTCTCATGGTCTTTATTTGGCGACATTGCCTCGCTGCCGGGCCAGTCTGATAGTATCTAAATTAAAAGTTGGTCTGTCACTTGATTTGGATAACCTTTTTCTCGTTTCATTTAAAACTCAAGGACATTTTACTTTAATTGTTCAAATTTACCCGGTGCTGTTGGATAAGTAATACATCTAATTAAGCAATGATTAATGTTTATAAGTGTGCGTGTACTATAATTAAAGTGAAAAATACTACACTAAGCAAATGCAAAAGTACATAATGGAATTAATTTAATGTATATTTGTTTTATTTCGTTTTTAGAATACTTAATTCCAGTGTTGAAAATAGATACGGTACTTACCACGGGTGCCTGCAGTGTTCCTCGTATGATGAGAGAAGCGATGTGGTTGGAGTTCAAGCTCAGTGCCTTGATGACGTCTTGCAGAGCCAGCACTTCTTCACCTCGGCTGTTTCGCACAAGTGCCCGTATGCAGTACACGTCCTACGAAAGTAATCAGAATTTATTTCTAAAATCCTTCTTTCTTAATCTTTAATGCAAAGTCCTCGTCATTGTAAGAAATTTCGAGGTCATTTGGACCCCTTTTCAAACATAAATTCGTTTTATATGCCATCTATTTACGCTGGACTTCCTGTTACAGAAACGGAAAAACAGCTACAAATGAAAGTTGTAGTTATGTATATTTGCGATAATTTGTGACAAAGGGTCGAATAATACCAGTATTAACAAATCAATGTTTGAACGTCACAGAGAAACAATATTAAAGGTAATCTACAGGAAATTAAAAGGGAAATATTCAACATGCACGTACCGGATTACGACTGTCCAACACGACTGTTTTCTCGGCGTCCTTAAGTGCATTTTTGAGATCCCCTGTAGAGAAACAAAACTATTCTATCGTATTCTGCTCTACCAGCTTTTATAATTTAAAAGCTGATGCAGATTTATAACAACACATACCCTGTACTTACAGGTTAATACAGGTGCCTAGAAAGACAATATGTTCTATCTTCAAAAGCTCATCGTATGAAATGGCATATATTTGATGCAAGCCATATCTTTAAAACTCACTTTAAATAACCAAATTATTAAGTGCATTATTAAAAAAAAAAAAGTTTTCTATAGAACGTATCAGCTTCAATAGCACGTAGGCCTATATGTATGCTCATGCGGGAAATATTAATCTGATCAAACACCGACCGAACCTGAAATTAAGCAACTTTTCTCATTAAAAATAATATGCTCTAAAACAAAAAATATTTAACTCGTTAACCAACCAGTCAGTCTCGCCTGGGCTTACCTGATTTTGCATAAGCAAACGCTCGTTTGGCATGCACGGGCGTCATAAGACACGAGTTGGAATGACATCCCGCCAAACAGCCGTTCTGAAACATAAGGCAAAAGATATGTCTAAACTTGAACCCGTAGTCCTTACAGTATTTAACAACGTAGAGGTACTACTACCCCGTCATTAGACATGCAAACTGGACAAACGATGGCATCGACGAAATTTGCCTGCCAATTACACAATGAATATTTACTTTTATTGATTGATTGATTGATTGATTGATTCATTCATTCATTCATTCATCTATATAGCCAACCATTTGTTTGACATTTTGTTTATTACTACTTAATCCCGCTTTAATCTATTTCATTTAGTTTCTACTTTTGGAGCGATCGGGTGTTCTTGGGTGTTCTCGGACGTATTGTGATGCGTCACAACTAACACACTGTGCGCACTTACCTTAGGAATACTGACACTGTTGATGGACTTGGTATAGGCTTTTACAGCTTTGGTGTGCTCTCCAACTTGCTGTAGTGCCCAGCCGAGACTGTAGTACAGTTCATAGAGCTAAAATGTTATCAAACCGCAATCATAAAATTCGGTTCAGTTATATGGGACTGACTGAAAATAAATTATCAACTGAATTTAAATTGATGAGATGACAACGATTAACATTGCCAGATTCAATTTCAAATGCATAAAATGAATATGCATTTTAATACATACCAAAATTAAATGAGTAAATGTCAAACCAAAGTGAAAAATAATGATATCGAAATGCTAAAGATTAATTATCCAATTATAATATTCACCAGCATGCCGTAACCGTCTGGCGGCTCATAGTTAGGTGGGAAATTTTCCAGACTTATCAGACTCAGCAAACTACGATAATTCTGTACCGCCTAGAACGAAAAATAAAATTTTGACTTGAATAATGAAGGATCAAGAGTGTTACCGGAGACCAAGAATACAAGGTACTTATCAATAGAGTTTTCCTGAAAGATAATTATTCTGAAATTCAAACACATATTGTGCCAATTACGTGTAACGTATAAATCACGAACTCATAGCAGTAAGTAATGAATAGCATGAATCGACACTCGGTTCATATGCACTTTTAAAGCATTTAACTACGTACTTAACAAAAGTAATTATATGCCAAGAGCATATCATATTGACTCCTTATTTCTTTTTTTCCAGATATTATGAGAAAATCTTAACCGCAATATTTAAGGGTATTTTTTTGTGTGGGGGCGAGGAGGTACGTTCGTTTTTTTTTCTGCTATAATATTAACTTTGGAAATGAGGAGTTTCACAAAGCAAATCATCTAGTATTGCAACGGTGTTTACCTCAATGTTGCCATTATCACAGCAAGGTGTTCAATTAAATTAGAAAGTAACCACAATTTTGTGAACTGACCCTTGACATTTTGCGGAGCGAGCCATCAGGTGTACGCACATACGGTGTTGACTCTGCCAAACTTTACTTTCCCGTCAACGATTTAAGCGGGTCCTGCCTTTTCAAATCATTTCAAGCAAGCAAATTGATGTGCTGTGCATTAGTAATTACATATATTACGAAAAGCCGATACACTGTCCGAATACTATATTAGAGCGGCTGTTTTTTTTTTTTTTTTTTTTGTTCATTTTGAGAAAGTGTGTGTGTGTGTGTGTGTGTGTGTGTGTGAGAGAGAGGGAGAGAGAGAGAGGGAGAGAGGAAGTCGTTTTGCTCAATGAGCTACATGTATATGTACACTATACAGTTATATTCATTGTTTCGCTGAAATCAGTGCTGGAATGATTGCCTTTTTTTAATTGACCAAATCCTACATCTCGTCGAGCACAAATCCCGTGAACTCAAGCTAATAATAATAATAATAATAAGGAAGCATTCAGCACTCGAAATTATCAGACAGAAATGCCAAAAAGACAGGTAGCCCTTCTCTTACTAAATATGAATAATTTACGCGATCTGAACTCTACAGCTGTGTGATATCGATAAGTTCACTATGCTCCGCTGCGTGCAAAGCAGATTGGGGTATTGATATTCTAACGGTTGCATGAAACAATAATGAAAAAAGACAGCGAATAGACAGGGCTCGATTTAAAATCTGTCAAGCGTATCGTTATGATTAGACCGACTGAATGTAAACCATAAATCGCGAAAAGCTTCAACTCTAGTTAAAAAATAAGACAATATAAGCACAGATCAACTGCAACTTGTATATAATGGCACAGTTCTTCATGTTTGCATTTCGTTTTAACGTCAGACACAGAGCCTGCAGTATGATTGAACAGTTTCGTAAAACTAAGGTTAATCGAAAGCAAATCCGATTAATCCGACTCGTGTACACACACGACCGCTTTAAGCGTTTGCTAAGTCCTCTTTTATAATGACAAATTTATATTTTACTAATGATTACAGAAGTTGGTCATAGCAACAGAGAAATGACTAGTCTTTTTGGGGCACTTTGTACGTATATGCATTCAAACATGAAATTGGTCACGCGAATGACTAGTCTATAGCCACAAAATAATATACAGTGTATTCAAGTGTATATATAAAGGTACATTTCAAATGTTTCTTTAGTGTATTTTAAAATGGAAGGTTGGATGTCAGTCGCCACTGCCTGCTATTGAAATAACTGCTAGTTAACTTATCAATTATAATTACTTGTAATAAATAATATAATACTGAATCCAAATGAAATATACTCATGACAATGAAATTTACAATGTGACATTTATAACAGAAGTTTCGAAATTATCAGAGAGAGAGAGAGAGAGAGAGTGAGAGAGAAAGAGAGAGAGAAAAGAAAATATCCCACCTTGCTCCATCGTTTGCTCCGTTCGTTCATCATGGCCTCCTTGAATTTAAAATTAGCAGCCTTGTTCAAGTCCTCAAAGTTCGTGAATGGCATCCTGGCCATTTGTGGTGGTGACGGTGTACCGTCTCTTGAGTTTCCCAAAAAGAGTCGTCTCAGTGATCTTCCACCCGGTACTAACTTAGCTAGCTAGCCGTCTGTGATAGCTCCTTTTTGTTTCGCACTCTGTCAGATTTCATAGATTTAAACTTAAAATTAAACTGTTGGTATGTCTACATTCAAACAGCAGCCCGTTGCAGTGTTTCGTTTTCGGGTGTTTATCCTCCGTCGTCATGATTTGAACGCTATCGACTAGTTTCTTCGATATCTCCACTGGGGTATAAATCGCAGTATCTTGATAAATTCTGATAACGAGTGGCAGTTTCTCACGGAGTTATTATCAAAATGGCACCCTGGCGACCTTTTCTCCTACTGTCACAGCTGTTTGCGAATGATTCTCTGAAGTTTTGATGACACCATTTGGAATTTGGCTTCCACTGACTGTTCTTACCGCCTCAGTGTTTAGTATTTACAGTGTCCGAGGATACACATTTGAGCTAGATATATGCATGTATGATAATCTTGCAAAATGTAGAAAGATATACAGAGCTTTCCTATGCCTTGCACATGTTTTAAGCGACGTGTATTTGTGTCTTTTCCTGCGAATCCGGGAGATGGTTCAACTGAAGCATTCAAAGTTACATGTGCGTTATCCTATATTGTCATAATAGCTAGACGATATGGCGCTTCCTTTTTTCGCATGGAATACAACGGAAAGCAATTATAACTATTTTCTGCTGTTCTTTCCGCCAGGGCGTTTTACTGAGCTTATCCTAACGCTTGAATTTGCAATTCAGATATCAATATGCATTGATCATTCAGCGCCCCTCGTTATTTGAATGAAAACCGAATCCTTGTATTTTTGCTGTGGGAGCGTGATCAGTTCCAATGGGTTCTGTCGTTTTTCCCTTGTTACAACGTTGGTTAATCATCAACTTTATATTGCAGGTATTATATCACACCTTGTTTCGAGTAGCTATGACTTTCTTGGTCTTGGTCCGTGGGGTCACTTGTAAAGTCAAAGCAGTGTTTTGCCCACACACACATAGGTTATACTGAAAATCAATAGAGATTAAATGACGCGGTCGTCAATCAGTTCGAGAAGAGAGGATAACATCTCAGTACGAGTACGCAGCCGTTGGGCTGTACGGTAAAAGCACGCTGCTACGCTACGCCAGCGTCTCATAGCGATGTCATAAGTGAGTCCCAGTCTTTTGCCGTCATTGACGTGACAGTGGCATGCATGTCTCCCGTTTCAGTAAACTGTCGAAGTGAGCGTTTTCGGTTCCCAATAAAAACATCACCCAAATAACATTTCCTATTTTCGTTACTCTCCTTTTCAGGTTAGTCTAGTCCTGTTTGCAAATATTGCCTCATCTTTGTGATAAAACTTCTCAAATTCTTGTCCGATTTTTTTCGCATCAGCGTCTCCAACACAGCAATAGTGTAAATCATAAGTAAACTGCAACCGATATGTCATAATATTGAGGGGCCAGCGGGCATGGAAGTAATGTAAATTGACATTGCGGTGCATTGACAGTCGAAGCGATTGTCCTCGGTGCTGTTTAATAGCAAGGGGAATGTTTGTTCATAATGGCTGAAGCGAGTAATTAGAGTGGGGAGAAGTGGTTGACAAAACCGAAGGCTAAACAACCAAGTGTTTCTGCATTAGTTAAGGGTGAAACTTTCCTTGCATTCTGCTGACTGCTCACCTTGGCTTTATTGCAATGCATCCACTTCAGTTGCTGATCCCACCATTGATCAGAGTTTATTTTAAACTCGTACACACTGAAAAGTCACATTACTGATTTTTTAAATGTCATTACTATTTTTTAAAAAAAGATCAAGCGCTTCTAATCGAACAGTAAACTTAATTCCCACTCTACAAAACCAGGCGGTGACACCTGCGTTTAAAAGCAGCGCATATCATAAACGATTTATTGAACACATAAACGTTTATTGACTTTTTCAACAAGCTGACGAGTGTGTTGACTTTCCTCTTTGTCCCGCCATTCATGATCGAATGCTGAAACGTGTGACAGCTTTTGTGGCAGCGATAAGGCTTTGTAGCCATACTGAAAGCAGAACGATTGTCGTTTCTAAAGAGGCTTCTTAATTGAGGATAACCTGTTGAACGAGACCTCATTAATGAAAAATTGCCGTTTAGTGACATAGGGTGAGAGTAATATATCGTGTCCCACTCGCGTGACCCGAAGCCAGCTATGATAAAATATGTTGATCTGAAGCTACGCCAAAACCGGTAATAATCACTTGGGAGTGGATACAAGTTACATAAATATAATCTAATAGATCTGAGCATGAAGTATACATATTTGCATGACCGTAATTTATGTTCCAATAAAAATGAATAACCAAAGGAGCTAAAATATTATTTTCTCTCCCAACATGCGTCTTGCACCAAGGGTATAAAAGCGTAATATAAACAGATGCTGAAATAACATCAATTGTCAATAATCTTGTCAGGGTTGGCTATTAGTATGACCAATGTTCGAATTCATTGTGTTAGTTGGGCCATGATTGCGCGGCATTATGATGCGAATGCACCACTTTGTAAATTACCGCATGAGAGCACAGACTAACAGACTTTAAAGCACGTACAATATTAATTTAAGGGAACTGAATCGTTCATACGCAAAGTAATAATAATAATAATAATAATAATAATAATAATAATAATAATAATAATAACAATAAATAAATAAATAAATAAATAAATAAATAAAATAAAAAAAAAAATAATAACAGCATAAGACAGGGAAATAAAAGAGAGAGAAAAATAAATAGTATTGCATTTACCAAGAAACTTCAAGCAAGAGCGTTACAATGCAGTACAGGGTTATGTGAACATATGTCTGTCATCTAACATAGTTTTTTGTCCAAATTTTAGTAAAATTCCCATTCAAAATGAGTACCGGGTCAGCAAATATACATGGCGCAAAACAACTGCAACGCGTAATCAGAATAAAAATGTTGAAGTTGGCCTATTCACACTTCTGATAAACGCGGTAGTTGTCTACGGTATGTTCACACACCCTGAAGAGAGACATTTTGCAACCGTAATTCGATGTTCTCATGGTGATGCGTTGCGGTTGCAAAATGCCGCTCAAAAATCCATTTAGGCGGCGAAGAAGGTGTAACGGTTGGCATGGTTGCCTTCCAAGCAGTCAATCCGGGTTCGACTCCCGGTCCTCGCATAAATCGTTTTATTCTGTCCAACATATTTGTTAAAAATAATGGAAAACCAGCAGCGATGTTTTATATGGGGATAAAAAGAGCGCTTGATAAGTGGAACTTCTAATGAAGCAGAAACGTGTTTTATTGTCATCATGATCTATCATTAAAAAACAAGAAAAAAACAGATGAACAGACAATAAAGCAGGTATTATGTGAAAAACTTTTATTAATAATGAAAATGGGAAAGAAAACGTTCGACAATTACTGTTAACGTAATATTTTTATTAAATCAGTATCACGTCTACACGATCTTGAATGAGAAATAAATGTTGTAATTTTTGTCTTACATCTCTAAAACAATGTTTTTGGGTCAAAACGAACGGTGATCTAAGCGTAATAATTATTAGAGATTGCGGACCGTCGACGTTTTATAACGGGAACGGGAGGTTTTGTCGGTTTTCTCGTTAATGAAGAATCTTGCCCTTGACCTTGTGCTTTGATTTGACCTTCTAGTCTTTCCTGACCTTTGAGGTCATCAGGTCTTTCTTGCATTATTATCCACTGTTTTTTCAGACTAGACCGATGATGTCCGTTTACAGTAGATTGTCTAAGAAAAACCTTTACAGAGCTGATTTCGATAGCCGCTTTTGGTATCTGTTGTGCGTTGTATTCAGAAATTATGTCTCTTGGATTCTTTATCTGTTCTACGGGCTGGTGAGTTTCTATCAACTCGCTTTTACCGCTCGGCTGTTGAAGTTCGACGCGGGCTTCCTGTAACACAACAATGTATATCCGATATGAATATATAATGGTAATGATATAATGATAAAACTGAAGTATAAGTACTGCCTATGCAAAATTAAAAAAAAAAAAAACAAACAGATCTTAAATATTTTTAAACATCTGAGTTTTCTAGTTTTGATGGCCCTTTCTGTTTTAATATTAAAAGGATTTTTTATTGCGGTTTCGTTTATTTTTTGTATGCGTGATCTGATTACTTTAGGTACAGACTTTCAATCGATCAAAATCAAAAGACACCAAAGTGTGATACGGCCAAAACCTACAAGCATGTACCGATAATTTTTTTTCTTTTTGCTGCATAAGGTATTTTTTTTCTCTTGTTATCACTGATAAATTATTTATATTCATTAGCTGTGTTGAATTTGAGTGACTCTTGGTCCGAACACCCTATTAAAAAACAACAACGGACCCTTAAAAGCGTCCAGTCTAAAAGATGTAGCCTACATGTAAATATGCCAGGCATCAACATTAAAAGTAATAAATAATTTAATCATTGAACAACTACTGATATTTAGACAACCACAGTATAAGTTGAAGTAAGATTTATGGGATACTATTTGTATCGATTTAGTTCTCGTACCTCTTTTTCCTTGTCCTGTTGAATATGCTCTGTTTTATCACAATTTGGCGTTGTTGGACTATGTTTCTCGCTATGCAGTTCTTCGCCAGGAGCTAGATTCATCCAAAAATAATATTTAAAAATAATTTAAGCATTTTGATTTTTTTAGAAATCTTAACCCATGTGCATGTAAACTTATATATATGACGGCGTACGTATTACTCCTGCAAAAAATATTTTTGTATATGATATAATTCTGAAAATGAAAGCATAATTAGATTGTTACTTAATTAAATACATCGAAATTAATACTAAAAATGAATAAACGGATAACTCCCCCCCCCCCCCGTAATAAGGATGGTCATTTCGATGTTCAATATAAAATTATTGCAATAAAGAAAAATCATACGTTCAGTGCTACTCACTTGGTGTACGCCTCCGCCTGCGCCTAAACCATACTATCAGTAGGCCTATAACCAACAAAAATACCGAGCAACAAATTAAAATAATTTCGTTGAAGTACTGTTCCCACTTGCTCTGTTTTGGAGGCTCTTCGTAGCCTAAAATGTACTTAATCTGTGAGAAATAACTCATGTTATCAAGCGGAAATTTTGATCTTTCGTCCTTATGTTTGTCTGTTCCATCTTGTTTGCTTCGTTTGTTTTCTTTGTTTAGTATCTATGGGGATGTTTATCTAAGTGACGTCATTGTCATGTCACGTCATCTTATCATGACGTAACGTTACCGATAACGTATAAATTTAAGAGCTTTGTTTCGAACAAAGGTCGCAACAATGAAAATTACTTAGAATAAAAGATAATTATATAAGTAACAATAATGGAGAGCCCATTGTTACGCTTCAAAAGAAACCTGTGTGAAAGTGTGCAAGGCAGGATGGAATGACAAAGCCTCAACAACGACTCTTTTTTTTAATGAATATTAGTAAAAGGAATAAGTACTTAATATCTTACAAATTTATTGATATTGATTAACATAAAAATATAAAAATCACATTGCATATATTTGACAGACATTACAGTTAGAATTGCACGAAAAACAGGAAGCGGTTTTATCAAAAAATATCAACATTATTTTTTGAACACATTATGATGTTCTGAGTTGTTTCGGTCAGTTATTGACTGAGCTATTATGTTGACCTCAAATAAAATCATCTTGGTATCGTAGCTATGGACTCACACGAGATAAAGTTTTTCTTCAGATTAAAAAAAACATGGATCCCATTAGCTGAAGTGAGTACATAATCTTATATGCGTAAATTAAGCGACGAAACAATAATTTTGTACAAGATATTTACAACAATGAAAATCTTAGTCATATCAAATGGTGCAGCAAGTGTCATAGAGATAAAATGAAAGTGAATATAATATCCATTCTCATTAAAACGCTATACTAATGTATAAAATAATTACTCAAAAACCATCAAAAAATTAAGACAAACCGCACGCTATGTAGGCATGCATGCCGCTGTTTCATTCTTCAGAGCAAATTGGGCAAAGCGGGACCAATGCAAAGTGCGAGATGTTAGTGGCCTCCACTTTTGAAACATTTTCATAATAATTAATTTTTTATATACGCAAAGACTTTATCGAGAGCTTGCATGAGACAACATTTGTGGGTGCACTGAATGCACTGATATGAAAAAGTAGATTTTCAGTATTATCTAGTGCAGCAATATGTTTATGCGGCCACGCCCTTTGGATTATACAGGCTTATAGGCATTTAACGCGACATTAAGGTTTTCACATATAATAACATTTAACAAAAATTCGAAAATAAACTAGAAAATACAATGACGTCTGGGCAAGATAGATTAACACAGAGTTGAAAAAAATCTTAAAACTTTGGTCAGACGTAAGTAATCAGAATACCAGTAGGCCTACAAGTGCGTAGACGCTACATGTGTATGTACCTGTATAAAAGACCTTAAATTTGCATGCAAAAAAGTAGCATGTATTGCTAAAGGTCATGGGATATGTCTAAAAAGGCCAGAAAACAGCTTGAACGGACTAAAACTTCATATCGACAACGGAGACTTGACGCAGATCAGCCGAATCTTGGAGCTTCAAAATTTTTACGGTCTGATCTCCCGGCATGCCCTGGTAACCACTGCCGCTTTTCACTTCCGGCTCCGTAAGAGTTTCGTACAGGAATCCGTCAAAACTTCCTGGTTGCTCAGATTTCTCGCCCACATAGCCAGGGTTTTCAAACGCCAGCGGAGATTCTTTAGAGTTGCACGAAGACGCGGAGTCCGTTGATCTTCCAGATCCGCTTCTTTGGATAGAGTCGGCGTCAGATCCGGCGGACCCGTTCCGTCGTCTGTATCTGCAGATGAGAAGGGCGCCAATTGCTATACAAATTAGGAAAACTCCACCTACTGTCGCAGAGCTGATATACACCGCAGTGTGGTTAAAGATATGATGGTAAAAATGAACCGTCTTGACGGGAGGGGTGGGCCACAATTGATGGGATGAGTTCTTCAAAGAGGCTGTTGTGATGACTGATATTTCGCCCCAGTTTCCAACTTCGTCCATCGCGCGTACCCCGAAGGAGTAACTGACGTCCACATCCACAGACTTAACGGCGACTACCAGCCTTTCGCGCGTTCCTGCAGGGCTGGGAAGAGGGAGGTCGCACTGTAAATTGCTATGTGACTCGATGGTTTGCACGCTGTGAAGGCTTTCAAAGAATTGTTGAACATTCTCACCGACGCGAACTTCGTACCTTGCAGCTGGAAAATAAATACAATTGTGTAAATGGACTTAGTCTATAATAGGCAAAATCTCAGTGACTCATTTTATTTATTGTATAAAACACACAGTTTGATCCGTTTTACTAATTTGAGTCCAAATGATATTTGAAAGTACCAGGTGTAGTTACTGTAGACTTCGATGAGAACTACTGCGGTAATGCTTATTTAATTAAATATTAAATATCCTTCAAAATGGATACACCCCTCGACAAAACGGCATGCAAATTGAATTTTCTATAATCGCAGTAATTTTTGGCCGTTGCCAAGTACAAGAGAATTCCCTGTGATACAGGGTCCAGTTCCCTTCGATTTGCAGATCCAGAGGAACATTGTATTAATTAGCCCCGTTCTAGGGCTCCCTGTTACACAGACCTTCCACTTCATAACACTGATTTTAACCATTAACCCTCTTACCTGTCCCCGATTGGTAATCATCCCCTACTGCAGTGAATTCCAAAATGATCACAGATTTAGCGTGCGATGCCTCCACCACTCTTAGATCACGAATCCTGGATGGGGGAAAGATGTCTGTGCTAGGGTTGGTCAGATTAGGAACGCCGGTCACTTTGAAGAATCCGGACAGTGCCACTCTGTTAAATTTCTCAAGTGCAACGGGTTCGGGCTTCATCGTTCCTGGAGTGGGAGATACATGATGCCTTAATTTTTTTTATTGTTGGGGTACATACATACTGTATCTTTCAGCCCCTAGAATTCCTTGCGTTTTATCTAATGGGAATAACATTCGCATATTTCCATAAATCACATGAAAAATATTGAATTGTTCTTGAAGGATGTGATAAAGACAGAAATTAACTTTTATCATCATTGTTTTACCAACCTGGATGCGAGAGTGAGATTTTCCTCATGGCAGACGATCCTCCTGCCGCGGTTCCATTAACCATCATCCGGGCTCTTCGGAGGTCATTTTCAACCTTGACCTTCACACTGTAGTCTCCTGTAGCCTTGACGTAATCCAGAAAATAGGCGGAATACACACCATCTCCTGCTGTGGTATCAGCGCCTGAAATCACGTCCTGAGCGTATTATAATTACTTCTAAAAGCATATGCACATAACTTATTATTTTCAAAATTTCAAGAATGATCCAGCCATGTGATTAAAACACAGCTCGAGTTTGCAAACCAGTCTGTTTGGATCTTTTTCTTTAGGTACATGTTTGTAATTTTTTTTCACAAATTAGTTGGCATTTTCAACTACTTTACTTCATGTAGTTACATGTTTTAACGTATACAATAGCAGTATAACTTATATATCTTATTTGCATTATACTAAAGAGTTGGGTAACTGGAGTCAACCCCTACACTGGGACCTGATATAAAAGAGAAAAACAGCAGACAAAACATTATGATATTGAATTATTAAATAGAAGGCCATGTGTGTCAATATTGATATTTCACAAGAGTAGAGCAATTTACCTGTTCCATTGTCGTACAGCGGAACCTTTAAAACCATTCCAGACGACGTTTCAATTTCAGCAGAGACACTGGCGCCCACTATCGGTGAGTATCCAAGACCAACATCAGCGTACAGAATGGGAGGGCCGTCTGTGCTGTTAACTAAAAGAGAAGAAATGTATGAACTTGTACTTCAGTTTACATTACATGGCAAACCATGTTCGCTATACCCTCTACTTTTTTTGAAGAAGCTCCATAAATGAATCAAAACTTTTAAAAGAAGACAAACATAAATATGTTTCATGTGTCAAAAACATAAAATCTTACGGTACAAAATGCATCACTTTGTCAAAGATTCTGCTCACCAGCAAACAGTGGGCCAGTGTGTATAGGTAGAAGATGATAGCGTCCCCCCTTTTCTCCTTAAGCTCTTCATTTTCAGTATACTCGGCATAGTACTTACCTAGGTAAGTGTTACTCTGCGTTTGGATATTGGCAGACACTTTAATTGGCTCCACCCCTTCCAACGAATGTGACTCCACCCGAAATACAACTGTCTGGTCCACGTTGGAGGGGTTCAGTATCTTGGTGGTCCATTCACCAGGCTGTAAATAAAAATATATTTATGTATTGTTGTTGTATTCACAGTAAGCCTTCGTTGCAAAATTGGCTTTTCAGAGGCAGAAAACATTACTAATGATTATTTTTTAAATGATCATGAGAGTCTATGCACATTTATTTGTCACAGAGTCAATGCTATTACATGTATGAGATCATATTTACTTATTTACAGTTCATACTCAAATATAATTGGACTAAGCCAACCACAACCACGCGCACGCACGCGCACACACGTGCACGTGCTTCATTTACAGCCAGCGGATTCTTCAATAACACCATCATATCATCGCACCATACCTTTGAAATATTTGGCGCCATCACTACAACGTAGTGGTCTCTGCGTTCCCCGACTATTGAATGGTCCAAACCTGGTCCCATCACCTCGATGGCTATCTGCGCCTGTGTCTGCGTCTCCCAAGATACCGTGAAAGTCGTCCGGTTCCCTATAGTTGAGTCCAAGTTCACCGTCCTCTCGACGCTCCTGTGCGCCGGGACGACTAATGATTCGCTTTGAACCTGTGGGATTCGAATTGCAATATTGTTTAAAAAATTGTTTCGAGTCACATTAAGTTATTTACATGAAATTAAATTCACAAAAAGATATATGCCAATTATTCCTTTCGTCTGTGCACACCGCACAACTAAAATGTTTTTTTTCAATAATCTAGGCATAATATTTTCTTTTTGTGATTTTTATACCCTGTCCTGTGATTTAATGGGCCATCCTAAACCAATGGGCATTATTATTATTATTATTATTATTATTATTATTATTATTATTATTATTTTGCCTATACTGTGACTGTAAGACACTTATGTATCATAACTCACCAGAATAAGTACCGAGCTACTGAAGAATGTCCTTTGAGAAACAAAAGTGGTCATGGCGTCGTCCAAAGCAGTGGAATTTGTTTTACCAGAGTAGAAGAAAGTGTCTCCGTCTTGAAAATAATATATACGTGTACATGAGAACATTTAACTCAACAACATTAAAATTGATAGACAATATCCGGCTAATTAAATTATTTGTTCTGTATTGGTTCTGGGCAATTTTGGAAAGGCAGAAACAAGTTCTTGTAAATAGCAAAAAGTTGAAAAACTTTCACATGAATGATGATTCAAAGGAAAATTAAACAAACGATTAAAAGTGAATACGTTTTAAGCGAAGACAAACAAAAGTCGTATTAAGAATTACTAAAAATGGAAAAATGTTCATTTGAATAAACACACTGTGTCCTCAGCGTCTAAAAGACCTACTGGTATGTTTCGTCAACCCGGCCAGGTTGTGGTCGGCGTTCTTAGTGTAAAGCACGGTATTAACAGTGATGCCTTTCTGTCTTAACTCGGGCAGGGTATGATTAAAACAGGGGCACATGGTCTCATTGCCATCAGTAATCAAAACTAATATCCCTCCGGCAGGATTGCGGTTCATGTACTCTAGGAGCTGAAATGAGAGCGATTATTATTATTACAGTTATCAACATCAGTCCAAATTGTGGTGCAAAAATAATCAATGCCCCTAAGCAAAAATGCAATGCACGTACAGTATTCCAAATAGCTAAATGGGGATGGCTACGCTTATACAAAGCTTTTCGGCAATCCAAATTGCAGTCAAGCACTTGGTGTACGTCATTGGCAAAATTGCGTTTCACGCACTTGTAAGAACTAAATTGAGAGTGATTCTAAGCACAACTCGTTATTTACAACTCCACTTGCTGTACATTACAAAAGGTGTTACAAGGTGGTATAGAAAGCACCGCTGGTGTAGTGGTATCATGCAAGATTCCCATTCTTGCGATCCGGGTTCGATCCCCGGGCGGCGCATAAGTATTTTGACGCCAACACAAGTCATAGCTTAGAACCCATAAAATCCCGACACCGACAGTTTCAACAGCAAATATAAAATGCCACATTACGAAAATGAAATGAAAGAAAAAATAAAAACTAACCAAAGGTACGAACATGTTATTTTCACGTCCAACATGTGTCTTGTATCAGAGATATAAATGCGAAAGATAAACAGATGCTGAAAGATACTGCTTTACGAAAATTCCAATGGTCAATGGCGGATCCAAACAAGACTCATCAAACATTAAAGCGCTCTTACCTCAATTCCTTTCTTTATTCCGTTGCCAATTGAAGTGTAGTTTTCTGCTTTCAGCGGCACTTTGTCCGCCAGCCGTATTCGGGCGTGCTGAGAATCTATTTTCTCCAAGACGGTGAGGTTTCTTGCCTTCTCGTTGAACTCCACCAGGCCTATTAGAGTGTTCTCAGGAACAGTGTTTAACACGAAACGCTGTACTGCACGCTGAAGTTTTAGGTGGTTGTTGTTTTCCTGCAAAGAGACGCACAAAATGGATGAAAATATTTATAAGAGTTAACACAATTCACTTAAGGATGCTCTAAGAGTTAGCTAGCTTCGTCGCTCTCGGAAAGGTATTCAGTATTATCTGACCATGAGATGAAAAATAAAGAGAAAAATACACTGACTAACCGAAACTACTGATCAAAACATATTTTACATCACAGCCGAAGTGGAGACAAATATGATTGGTTCGCTCTGGTCTTGATACTTACGCGCATGCTCCCAGAAATGTCCATAACAACGACGACTCTGAGGACCTCTTTATGCTGTACCAGATGGAAGGCGGGAGTAGGGTCCAAAGTTGCCGGAGGATTGGCGCCTAAGTCGTGGATTAAGAAAAAAATGAATTAATTCTTAATGCATATAGTTTTTCCATTATATTCGAGGTATTCTAGGCTTCTATAATTTGTATTATGATGCTTGGATTTCACACAGACTTTCCTTATTTTTCTACATTTTCTTAGTCGAAGCTAGGACATACAGTAATATGTAAAGTTTTTCAGATTTGATATAATTATTTCACTCAGCCAATGTTGGTTAATCATATGTTTTGAAGACTTTTTGTGACAAAAGAAGAGGCTGATAACCTGAAGACGTTAATCTTCTAAGAAAGGAAAGGCTATATCCACCTTCGACCACTAATATAGAGTTTTTTTAGATGGAATTCGGCAAAAAATTCTAAAAGGTGCGAGTCCCTGAGCGAGTCCCTGCGGATTTTGATCTACGTAAAAGGATAGTTTCATTTGGAAAGGGTTCTATAACTTGACATGATCTAGTACCTACCGTCTTTGAAGTCTGGATGGTCCCTCATGACTTCCCATGCACTTTTATGATAGCACAAGTCATTATGCTTGTTCTTGGCCTCAATGTTATGATACGTGGCCTCTGTATGCGGATCGTTGTCACAGAAAAGCGACACCTGGTGAAAGTAATATGAACGTTTTGATACAGAAAAGTAACTTTTTCGAATGAATAAAAAATCCACTAACCTGTAATTGCCTTTACTGTTCACACTACAGCGTGCTAGTGAATTTTCACCATACCTCAGGAAAGACCAATAAGGACATAAAAGACTGCAACTAAAATTTCCTTTTTTTCTAAAACGATTATATAATCCAAATGAAGAGGGGCAATTTCAAACGAGTTCTTCACCCCCTCCCCTCAAACGAGTTCACCCCCCTCCCAACTATTGCTAACGTGGCAGAAACTATTAAAGTTATTCTTACTGAAGACAAATAGTGGTGTGCCATCACGGAGGCACGAGGGGCGCTCTGAACATCCTCGGGGATGAAGATGCACTCCTCCTCGGGCATCGATGTGCTGAGATCCACCTTGCAAATGCTCCCGTCAACACGTGATTTGTACGCGCCTTTCACGTTCTCGGTGCACGTGACGGGTTTGACGCGACTGTCCGTCCCTGCGTAGAAGTGGCCATAGCCATGGTCCGGCATTGGGTGCTCGTCAAACAGCCCCCACTGAAGATGACCCCATTCATGGACAAGAGTGGTTCCTGAAATTTTGGAAATTGAAAATATGGGTCACTTGGTCAAGAAATAATTCACCTTGCTGTCTCGAACAAAAGAAAATGTTTGGTGTGTGTGTGTGTGTGTGTAGGGGGGATAGGCGCATTTTTTCCATTGTTACACTCGGCAAATGTGAAATAATATATGTGGTCAATTGTACGATAAAAATAAGGTTAAATGTAGAATTGTTTCTAGTTTTATATTTCGCTTGTAATAATCCTCGTATACTTAAAGGAGGGGAAAGGGGTGTCACCAAACTTCAAGGGCTGGGAAGATA